TCCTTAGAATATAAGATCCTAGTCTGTATTGTATTGATATTTAAATGGGATTTTCTGTAAAAATATGCAGCAAAGTTAATGGGGGTTGGAAGACATGACTTTCTATAAAAAAAGTTCCACTACTACAACAAATGGAGGATCAGTACTTTGTATAGAAATATTATTTTTTATTTAGCAGTTGAGAAACGAGATGACTTGACAGTGATCACGCGCAAACGCTCTTACTTATTAAATTAAGAGTACTCACTTTACAGAGGCTGGGTGTGCCCTGGGAGTGTCTCCTTACCCCAAGGTCGATCCACGACTAATGTAATAGGATTCTGTGCCTCATTAGCAGTGTTTTACTTATTAGGCTATCCCGCTCTTTTTCACATTCTAAAACTCTGAAAATATGGTGCAATTTAAAGCCAAGATCCAAGAGAAGACCTACCAAAAGCATTGCATGTAAGAAAAAAAAGGAAAAAAAAAAACGAAAGACTTATGTATTTTTTTCAAATTTAATTATTTTCCATTGAAAAAATTTATAAAAAAAAAAAAAAAAACCATAATAAACCTAAAGATCTCAGTCACCATAATAATTTACGAAGAAATAATCTAGCATGTTTGAGATTTGTGCTTTACAGCAGAGAATAACTCGAAGAGAAAGAATCTGTATTGTTCCGATGAATTTTACACCCAACAATCGGGAAATATTCTTCATTTTCCCTAACAAGTCATTCATGCCTTTAATTACCATTAATGGGCTACGTGCAGAATCACGAAAATTTTACGTCATTAGAGGAATTTTATCACTTAAGGAACAAAGTAACCCACTTCGACAGTAGGCAGTTTTGTTGTTTCAATTATACTCATCGGATGACCTGAGCTTAGTTTTGTTAATACGTAAGCTTAGTAATATTGTAAGTAAAATTTTATTTTCGGATACCTTAATTAATTAGTTTTGCGTTAACATTAAGCAATTCAAAGGGCTAGCCAAAACGCAATACATTGAATTTTGATTGCTATGGTACTGTGTTATAAGTCAGCTGTTTTTAGTAGAACCCTAGCCAAGATATTGTTTTTAAAAAATCAATTAATAACATTTTACTCGCGTTATCTTTTCCAAAATCTCTTTTTTCTGTTGGCATTACCGCCTTAACAAGCCTGCTCCATCTCTGCCTGCCTTGGACTGTTACTTTCCATTTATCTGCACGCAGCTCTATTGCATCTTTGTTGATTTTATCTATCCATCTGATTTTTGGCCTTCAACGCGGTCTTTTGCCTTCTATTGAGACATTCATACGTTGAGGCTTCCAGATGGGTTGCTATGAGCTACTTACCCCACTCATCTGAACCTCCGTGCCTTCATATCATGGATATTGATTGACCAGTTTCTGTAAGCAGTTCTTTATTGGTCTTTGCTCTCCATGTGTTAGTACTGTGATCCCGGTTATCGTGCGGAGGATTTTCCTCTCAAATCTTTCAATACTTTTTTCTAAGGTGCTGGTTAGTGTCCAGGTCTCACGGCCATATATCAGAACTGGCTTTATTATAGATTTTTTGGGGTTTCAGTACCTTTGAAAAGGAGAAAAAAGCTCTGTTTGCGCTTGTTTTACGCTGGTCTATTTCTGGCCGATGGACATTCACTGAGGTTATTGTGGAGTCAAGATATTTGAATTTTACTACTCTCGGAAATGATTTTCCTTCTACGCAGATCCTCTTATTGGGATGGAATTTTCGGCTTGTTATCATATGTTTTGTTTTGTCTTCATTTACTTGTGGGCCGATCTGCTCTGCCTCTCTTAGCAGAATCATGGCTAGTTTCATCTTGTCAAAATAATATTAAAAAAAAAAAGTAGATTCACAATATTTTCATTATTGTTATTCTTTCTCGAACTCTCAAAACTGTAACTTTTGTCGGTCAAGATATTTATAGGTCTATATTTATTTATAGGTCTATCAATGGTCCAACTTCAATTCCAATCACCTCCTTTTCGAATCATCCAGTTTCACAACTTTGAAATTAAGTGTAGAAAGATTATAAATTAAGTTAATCTATTAACCTTAATTTGGAATTACCATATGTTTCATGGTCATATTTTTCAGTTCTATACTTTTGTGCTTGTTGTGCTGTATTTATGCTTAAAAAAATACTTCCTTCAAGTAATTCAACATATTACTCTATACATATAACATGTTGCCATGTACTTTTTATAATCATTTAAATAAGAATAATAATCTAGTACCAGAAGTCCTTGATATAAGATCGCGGATAGGTTTCATTGCATAAATTGGTAGCTACCTTATTTACCAAACTATTATCCGATTAAAAAAGAGACTTCCAGCTCACACACTTTCCAACAGTTGAGCGAACTCTTAACGGGAAGAGGGAAAGAGATGTGATGTCTCACTGAATCTGCGATCTAGTTGAAACGGGCGTCGTCATCGAGTTTGGAAAGTGGTGTCGAGCCAAATGCTGTGTCAGGCCCCCTAGGGATCCCTCGAGTTTTCGCTTTGTCGCTGATGTATAGATTCGGAGAAAGTATACGCAATGATCTTCACCTGCCTATCTCCATGCACTATTTCATTATCTAACAAACGGAATCCATTATAGGCTATCACTTGGTACCATTCAATGGTTCCCTTTGTCAATCCTATCAAACCCAGAAGCAATCGCGGTCTTTGTTCGATGGTAATGGATGGAAAGCATAATCAAATCTTCTCAAATAAAAACAAAATAAAAAACATCCATTTATCTATTTTTCTGGGGAATCAATCAGAGAGTGATCAGTAGAGTCTTCAAATGAGGATTTTAAGAAAATATTTGATTACTTTAAAATTACAAGAACGTCTAATTTTTTTTTTTGTTACTCTTTAAACAAATCCGTTTATACAGTACCCAAATATAGTCAAGGGTGCCCGAAAGGGGGTGCTGGGCGTAAGTTTGCGTCATCTATATTTCTAAGAGGAGCACAATTTTTACGGAGTTTCAAAGGTGGCAAATATTTTCAGGATTATGAATTTTTATAGGAAATCATATTTTTGTAAGAATTCAATAAAAAGTAACTTTGAAATAATGGAAAGAAAGAAAAAATTAATCTACAATTTTTTTAAGGAAAGTAAGCAATATATTTTTTTTAAGGAAAAGGGCATGCGCCTTCTCCCTTGTGGGAGGGTGAGCACCCATAACCCATAATTGTATTGTACACGGATAGCCATAATTGTATTATTGTACACGGATAGAAGCTTGCATTTTTTTTTTTTTTTTATTTTTTTTAGCCTTCAAACAAGACTTTACCCTTCCTAGTGAAATCTCTTAAGTAGCACCAGTAAACAAGAAGAAATCTTTCAATCTCATCGATGCTAGTGAAGTAACCATCAGGGCCTGATACTCCTAATAGTCTTACTAGGCTTCCGTTGTATGCTAAAACAATTTTAATAAGCAACTAAAATGAATTTGATTAGTTAAGAAAATTCTTATTTTCATGAGAAAGATTGCCTTGATGATGTAAAACAATTTTATCTAGAAGCATCCCATATTTGAATCCGACGAAAAGTCTAAATCTCGAATTCATTTTATTATCGAACGGATGGAATACACTATAGCAGGGGTTTTCATACAACCTTTTTTCAGCAGCGGACACATTTATAGGTTATATCTTGAATTTCGGGTACCATGTTTTAATTCATTGTAAATTGCAAGTAGATTACTGTTTATATATTTAAAAAGAAAATGTAAATGTACCAATAAAAAAAAAAAAAAAAATATATATATATATATATATATATATATTTATATATACATATATACCTATAGTAATAGATATCTATAACAAATAGTAATAAATAATAGTAAGAGACATCTATATATATATATATATATATATATATATATATATATATTTCTACAGGAAAGGTGAAAATACTAAGTGAAATGAATGTAATTAATTTTGTATATTTACCGTATATTAGATTAACACATTTCGAAATTAGAATTTCAAATTAACTAGAGAAGATACGGGTTAATTGTAGTTAAACAATGAAACTAGTTACAATAAACGCAGTCATACGAACAGTACCATTTATTTTGCTTACTCACTACCAAGGAAAGAGATTAATTAAAGCAATTGTAATGATATTACATCTATAAATGAATTATTTTTTTTAAATATATATATATTGTGAAATAATTATTATTTTCGGGAGTTAGGTTATTTACATATAAATGTAATGTCATGTAAATGACCTAACTCCCAAAAATAATAATTATTTCACAATATAATATTTAAGGGTCGATGAAAAAAAACAATTTTGTTATATAGATCAAATACTACTCATTTTTCAATTTAATATCTAAAAACTCTTGTTAGAATTTTAAATATACATATATTTAAGAAATTAATTGTAAGAGGCCGCAGTAAGTTTAGGTAAAGATAATAGAGGCTGCAATATTTTTTTGAGATTTTACTGTTGATATTTTTATTTATGAGTAAATAAAAACCGATACACATATATTCAACTTAATTCTATTGATTTTCAAATCTCCGTCATGGTGGCCTCAGTTTCCCCACATATGCCTTCGTACCAATGGCCCCTTGGTCAACCCTATAAATCCCAGAAGCACTTGGCACCTTTATTCGGCGGTAATGGATGGAAAGCATGATCCATTCATTAAAAAAAAAAAATATATATATATAAATATATATATATATATATATATATATATATATATATATATAAGCAATCGAGGACCAAGTACATAGTATAAAGTGGAAGTAGGTTCATCTGATAAAAGAGATTTCCAATTCTAAATCCTCATTTTTATCCTCCAATGTACTAACGGGCAAACAGCTTGGCATTTCTGAACACAACCACAAATAAGACGGCGAATGAAATGAGAATCTAGAAATCAAATCTGGAATAAGAGGATCAGGAAGAACCTTTTATACAGACAAATAAGAGAAATAATAGACTATCACCATGGATATGTCTGAAGAATGTAGGATAATAGGAAAGGTTAAATGGATGATAAAAGAAGTTTCAGTGCAGAAACTGCGTGGACAGTCGAGACATACGTACCACGGTTTTATAGAGAACCACGACAGGATGATGGCAGGATTGAAAAGTATGGCGGGAGAGAGCAAATAGTTTCTGGAGAAAATGGAACGAGGCTAAGTCTCCATGTAATGTGCTTCCATGAAGACCCTAAATTGTCATTAAACAAGCATTTTCAATTTATTTGTAAATTATCAGTTGCCTACAGTCCTATTACTTCGAATGTGGCCTCGTTTCTTATCCGAAAGGTTTATTGAATGATGGGTTAATAGTAATAAATAGTCAGCTAGTAGTGTGTAGACATTCCCTTAAGTAATTCCATTACTTCTAATAGTTGAAAAAGCGTGTAATGTCCTTTCTAATATAGACATTTATTTGAAGGGTATATCTATTAATTCCAGAGCCTAGTCGAAATTTGAGACTTATTTGAAGAAAACTTTTAGTTTTCACAGTACACTGTCATTATATTCCCCCTGAAGATGCAATTTGAATTATTCTGCCAACTCAAAGTATGGGATTTCGAAATTTCACCCATTTTTGAATGAGATTTAAAGTGAAACTGAATTATTTGACGATGATTTGTTTGAAGCCATGGACACAGTAGCAATTTCATAATTTAATTTTGAGGGATTTTTTTTTTTGTTTCAGTAACGTAATACTTCAGCCTTCTTGGAATGTAGCTTCATTTTTATTTAAGATGCTGAGAATGCCTTTTTCATCCTTGGGCCAGATTTCACCTTGTAAAATACAGGCAGTTGTAGAGAATAGAAATAGCTGTTACAAAATAAAAGAAGAACGTCCATTTTGACGTTTTTGTAAGCCTCTGGAATGGACCTTACTCTTTTTCTTCAACAAGAGTCCTCGGCGGCACAATTCCATGAAAACATGTTCTTCTCCCTCATAACTTCCATTCAGACAATAGCTAACGCACCAAGCATAACAAATGAAGGAAAATAGGCCACAACTCTTCAATAGATGTCTTAGCGCCTCCATAGATAATGTTCAAGGTTACGTTAGAAGGTACCTGCATCCGAAGATTAAAAACACACATTAGATATAAGACCACAATATCATAAACGTTTAGAGTTAGTTTTCGATGTACCTAAATGTGTTGCAGCAGTCGATATTATAACATTCTTCTATCCCGATGTACTATATATGTAAACACGTTCTGATGACCAAGCTTAGTGATGGATTGTATGTGGTCTTACTGAAAATAGACCTATATTTATGTGAAGCACGCTTATGTTACACAAATAAATTATTTCATCTGTGGCATCTAGGTTGGATCAAAGGAATCTCAAATTAGTCTTATATTTCTAAGTCCCGTAAAACACTAAATGGCAATATATTCAAGGCCGTGATATATAAGATTTTTAATACATGTCAGATTTTGGTTTATTATTTTCAATAATGAACCACTGTTATTGTCCAAAAAAATCCAAAACTTAACCTCCTACCCTCAAAATTTGAGGTTTTACGTTTCAGGATATGTAGAACTCAAAAGTCGACTAAAAAAATTTTGCCGTCCGCGCATTTTCTCCCAGACTACTGGACCGATTTTTTTATAATTCGGCATCAAAGCTAGAGGTCTCCGACGATGATCCTCCTACCGCGACAATACTATCCGCCCTTTTCTTTCAAGATGGCGGCTGAAAAATCTGTGTTGCTATAGACTATAGCTCCTTAACGAATATACCGATTTCAATGAAACTTGGCTAAAGTATTCTTCGCGATGCCCTTTAAATTTATCTATATGACATACTTCAACGAAAAGAAGCTGGGGAAAAGTTACGAGGAGTGGTAAAATTCGATTCCGAATAACTCACATTGTGATATTCTGATAAGACGTTTCATAGGTATTTAAATTTCATACCTTCAACGAATGTACCGATTTCAATGAAACTTGGCTAAAGTATTCTCCTTGATGTCCTTTAAATATATGTATAGAACATCCTTCACCGAAAAGTATTTCCCTATCAAGATGGCGGAAGAAAGACCTGTGGCGTATATGCCGTAGCGCCTAAACGGTTGTACCGATTTCGATGAAACTTGGCTAAAGTCTTCTTCTCGATGCCCTTTAAATTTATCTATTTAACATACTTCATCGAAATGAAGATGAAAAAAAAACGAGGGATCGTAAAAATAGATTTCCAAATAACTCAAAAAGCATACACTTTTTTGTCATTTTTATAATCATATGATTCGAAGGTATTTAAATTTCCTAAGAAACGAAAAAGTTTCATCGAAATAAGAGCACTATCAGTAAAGACATGCCGGTTTTTAAATAATTTTGGTTTATTATTTTCAATAATGAACCACTGTAATCGTAAAAAATAAATCAAAAACTTAACTCCTTCCCCCATCAAAATATGATGTTTTACGTTTCAGCATATTTTTTTTCGTGATCTGTGTATTATCATTCCAGTGCAGTACTGACCCCTTCATCAAGTTATGATAAATTGAGGATTATCAGTTTTTTTACTGAAAAAAATTACCTTTGGCTTATGAATATAATAATTTTAATTTCTATTCACACCTAATTGTATCCCTTAAGGTCAGAATTTAATAAAAATCAAAATTAACTTTTGATAGTTATTTATTGAACGTTTCTAGAAATCTGTGTCCACCTCTTCAGCAATATGTTAATTAAACGGACCTCAAGGCATGTAGGACTTAAGTGTGAATAGAAATTAAAAAATTAACGTCGAAATTTGAAAACGGTGGCTAATAATTTTATGTAATCAAATATTGAACGATTTCTGACTAATAGGTTATAGATAGATAGATAGATAGAAAAAAAAGAACTTTATTCTGGGACTAAGTCCCTTCAGAATAACAATAATGTACAAAATAATAGAATATTACTGGCCTGAACGTTGAAACAATAAATAAAATTGATAAAATAAAATAAAAAGTAAAGAAAACCTTAGGTGTACAAGCTATATACAATACAGATACAACTATGTACAGAGCATTTAAAATTATGAATAAAACAATTAAAACTATGAACGAATCATTTGAACTATGAACAAAATTATATTTAAGGGTTGAACAACATAAACATACACTTTGAGAAATGAAGAACGAAAAAGAGATACAATGAGTTCATTTCATAAAAAAAAAAACTTTACTTGAATATATATATGAAAATAAACAGTTACTTATAATTGAATAAAAAAAAATGTATGTATTGAGATTCCTACGTCGATAGTAGGAAATGCATGTACTATCTCTTACCAAGTGTTATGATTATATGATTGCTACACAATACATATATAATATTAATCGTTAGCTGGTATCTGACTGTTTTTGGAACAGGAATTGGAATAGGAGGTTTTTGAATGTGTACAGGGAAGGGGCATGTCGAATTTTGATCGGGAGGGAATTCCAAAAGTTGACAGAGCGGGCTATAAAGGAATTTTGGAATGAGGCAGATCTATGAGAAGGGATGTATAGGTCAGAGGGTCGGGATCTTGTAGTGAGTGAATGGATTGAGGACTTAAATTGGAGAAGGTTGTAGGCATAAGAAGGACGATAATCGGTAATGATTTGATAAAGGAAAGTGCCAAGGAAATATTGTCTTCTTAAGGAGGGGAAGAGCCACCCTAACTCAGTGTAGTGGTGGGTTATATGTTATTGATTTATTAAAAAAAAGACTAAGTTAGAGAATCATTCGAAATACGTCTTTAAAATCGTTATGTCAGTAAAAACTATTACAAATATAGTCTATGATGTATGTTATATTAGGAGCTAATGATTTATATTTGTCTACAGGTACTTCATTTTAGGAAGATATGATGATCTTATTACTACTCCTGGCTGTACCAGCGTTCGGTTTAGACAATGGCCTTGTCAGAACTCCGCCAATGGGATGGCTTGCTTGGGAAAGATTCAGGTGTAATACAGACTGCAAGAACGACCCTGACAACTGTATCAGGTATTATATTTATGTAGTATATTGATCGGAGAAACAATGGAGTAATATAAATATTATTATATTATATTATTTTTTTTTTTAGAATAAACTAGAATAAAAACATTCTTTATTCTGAGACTACGTCACTTATACATAAAAAAATAAAATAAAAAATAAACAGAAAATAAGCCAATTTCAAGATCCTGCAAACTAATTTTAATTCAGTTGTTATAGTTCAAAATACATCCTCATTTGACACATATTAATTTAACAACTATCAGTTCTATATATAAATAGTCCAAATTCTATTTTATAAAAATTAATTTTTTTTTTTATATGTTTACTATACTATACTATACAATACCATACCGAGAATATATTCGTCAGAATCTCGTCAACATACTTTATAAAAATCTTAGGAATTTTATTAAATGTCTTTATAGCTTTATCCAATAGGCTATTAGATATATGCCGGTAAGATTAATCGATATGGCTCCCCCCATCGGTAGTCCATTTCTAATTTAAAAGAAATTGCTATTGTATGTGAAGCATCCGTTGTCACAGAGTAATTTTATCCCCTCCATGAGCAGTGCTTTATTTTTAATCGTCGTATGGGGTTCGATTTCCTCCCAATTTGTTTGCAATATCTTATATAGTTCTTTAAGGGGAATATTTGTAAAGAGGGATTCCGCATCATAACTGACTAGGGATTCATTATCTTCAATTTTATTAACGTTATTCATCTTATCTTTGACTTGCATAGAGTTCTTTACGTCATATGTATTTTTATTGTTAAGATAATTTAGTGCTGGATTTAGAAATTTTGCTAGTTTTTCAGTTATCCCGTTAATATTATTGACTATTGGTCTAAGTGGTGTGTTTGTCTTATGTAGTTAACATAGCCCATATATTCTCGGTATGGTATAGTATAGTATAGTATAGTATAGTATAGTAGTATAGTAAAAAAAAAAAAATAAATAAAATAAAAATAAATTTAAAAATTTTTATAAAACAGAATATGGACTATTTATATAACTGATAGTTGTTAAATTAATATGTGTCTAATAAGGATGTATGTTGAACTATAACAACTAAATTAAAATTAGTTTGCAGGATCTTGAAAATGGCTCCTGAAGCCGAAACGTCGAATAAATAATACAGGATGTAAAAACTGTGTGCATTTGGTGACCTTTGGCCTAATATTTCATAAAAAAACTTATATTAAACAGAAAACCATTTTCTGGATAAATATTTTAGAAATGACAAAATTAAATAAATTTAAAAAAAAAAGAGAAGGAGAGAGTAAAAAATAAAATAAAGCGAGAAACTTATGAATTCATCCTTAAAATTAAAACTCAGTCATAAAATATGAAATATTAAATATAAAAATAAAAATATAAGAATAAAAATATAAAATAAAAACCGATAACAAGTAATCTACATGAATGTATAAAATATGTAAGCTAAAATAAATTAAGAAAATAGGAAAAATCGGCTAGAAGACTAAGCTAAGGCTTAGAAGTAAGTACGCAAGTATATAGTTTGTATTCAAATATAATTATATGTAGCAACATATCCTATGATTTTATGATTCATTCAAGTGCACCCTTCCATTTTTACCCCGCCAAATTCGATTTAAAGCTCGGAGAATTGAGAGTTCATCTCACTACCTCAAAACATTAAATAAAAAAGATATATACATAGTACATACAATCGCTTTTTTTACATATTTTGTAAATATATCCGTACGTAAAAAAAAAAATAAAAATAAATAACATCAATTTATATAAAAGTTTATATAAATTCACTTGTATATATGGTATTATATTATTTGTTTTAAATAATTATGTTGATTACATTAATTATCACTCATAAGTTTTATACATAACGTAAGCTCCCATAATTTTTTTTTTAGAGAGTTGGTCCATTGTCCATAAACTAGATTCATGTGGATGAAACAAAATTATTTTACGTACATTTATAATACAACTGTGCAAAAAACACTTAAATTCCATTAATCTTTTGAGTTTGGTAAAACATTGATACGTTCATAATCCTGCAACAATTATTAAATCGATAAACTTTTAATTTATGTCACGATGTTTCTAAATTCGTATTATTAGACCCACAAAATTCTTTCAACTTTTCTTTACTCTACCTTTGATGTCACGGTACTTCTTCACTAGCAGACCGGGACTGACTGCTATCTGCCAATGTTTATAACCTGAATACTGATTATTTCGATAAGGCAGTGATAAGCCTTCTTGTAATTCCTATCTTCGTATTATTGTATTAATGAAAACGTTACAGGATTCATAATTTGGCGAAAATAAACTTTAAAAAAATGAAAAATAAACACAAACGGGCCAAAAATAAATAATTTAATTAGTGAACGTAATAAGGGAATAACTGAAAAATAAACAATGTTATAACTGAAAGGTTTGGTGAGATAAGAAGAGGGAGGTTATGTGACGTGACGATAGTTAACATAGATAAGAAGTGAGGTTTCGACCCGGCCTGCTAGGGAAGTGTCACGTGTCAGTGTGACGATGTCACAATTTAAAATTATTTTCAGCCTCATTATTATTTTTTGCTTGAGACAAAAATTTCCTCGATGGTGCCAGGATTCATGAAAATATGGCGCACTTATAAACAAATAATTTGTATAGTACTTGAGACTACTGAGGTTTACATTTGTAAAATAGTCTCCTTCCTGTTAACCTTATTGAATAATTTATCATTTATCTGAACTTCTTTCCCGATGATACACGGCATGACATTGACATTTCCAGTGACCGGCTCTTCCGAACGATGGCTGACCTTGTGGTTTCGGAAGGGTATGCGGCTGCCGGTTACGAATACATCAACATAGACGATTGCTGGCTCGACAAAGAGAGGTCATACACGGGTCAACTCCAACCTGACCCTGTGAGGTTTCCTCACGGCATTAAGGACCTAGCCAACTACGTAAGTAAAAACATTAAACATTACCTGAACAAGCAGTAGGTATTCGATAGCTTTTAAGAAGAATGTTCACATTTGAAACGCTAATCTTACTATATATATAGAAAATGTGAGGTATTGTATGCAGTCTGTAGTTCAGGTGTTCACTTGTTTCCAACGAATGCTATGAACTTCTAATCCACTCCAAATGATATATTGGGGTGATTATATTTATTTTCCAAATATGATCTAGTGTCTCAAGTGTAAACTTCTTCCAACAGGCCACCTCATTATTCTCACCAGCTAGTTACTCCTACAAATTTCTTCAGAGGGGGAATTCTTTTAACGGGGTTTGGATTTCTTTAGGGGGGAAGATGTCGACGTAGTTATGAGCTTTTGGAGGGACCGTGTTTTTGAGGGATTTCAATTTGGAAGAGCTTTCAAACCAGGGGGAAATCAGGAAAATTTTTCAAATGCTACTTGCGCATTGACTGATTTTAAGTAGACAAAAGCAATATTTTTTTTTGTGGGGAAAAAGAGAGGCATGCGTCATCTAATTATTTTTTTTATTTTTTTTTTTTTTGGGAGGGATACCTCTGAAGATGCATTTTTACAATATGGTTTTAATATCAATTATTATTGTTTTTCTTCCATCCAATAAAATATAAATACAAATTATAATATTATGACGATGGATATTACATTTTATGGAATTTCCATAATAATCACAAGGATTATAATCTGCAATTAACTTTTTCACTAACCCCATTTATTTCACTTATTGAATTATAAATCCTACATACTTACTGTAGGAACAACCAAATTCATTAGATAAAATAATAATAATATTGATATAAATTAAAAGAAAACTGTCTGCATGAAGTATAATTAAATAGAGCAGATAGTGTTTGTTAGTCATTATCATATTGTGTCATAAATAAACAGTATTGATAACGGAAATACTATTTTCTGAGGTTAGAAAGCCCACATTTCTATCTCCGTATATTATTCTAAAGGAACCTGTCCCAGAATAAATAAAGTATTATTATTATAAATTCTTCCCAAGAATCTTATAATTCCAGTCAAAATGCATTTTGGTTTACTGGATCATAAAATTTTCAAACAATTTATAAATTATCTCAATAAACGAAAAAAAAAATTGTACAAAATTATAACGATTCCGCTATGTTATTGAGAATCAATAAAATGTTAAGAACTTTTACAATATGAAGTTATCTCATTATGATTTATTTTCAATTTCTTTGCTATTCATATTGCATAAATACAATAGCTTTAAATTAATGGTTTATTTTCAAATTGAATAATAACTGTTTTCAGCTGATATTTTGAATTAAAGCCTGCTGTAAACTGTTCGAACCAACAGGATATTTTTGATTGGTCTATTGGTTCGCTAATAAAAGGCTATTGTTAAACATATTTATTTTTAAAATTCCAAAATTTAAAAAAAAATTCCAAAAGTTTAATTAAAATTTAATCATTGAAATGTGGCGTTAAGTTTCAAAACCAGTCAACTCCATTTTCATATTTTGTTTTTGTTAAACAGTTATGGTAATACATTGCTTGTTTCTTTCGAAAACTATAAAGTCACGCTTGATTAAATTCTTTTTGAAAGAAAATATTTTACTTTAAGATAACCAAGTACCAAAACTGTTTATTTAAAAATAAAATATGAAATTGGATCCTTTGGAATTCTACACTCACTAAAGTTATCTGACCGACGCAATTACAACACGCACCCACTTACAACTAGAAAATGTTTTGTATTTTTTTTCTTAACACAAAAACTCATACTGGATTCACGATTTAATTCTGTTAGAGGGGTGAGGAGGTTGGTTTTTAAACCGTTACTACGCTGGAAGAAAAAGAAAGAATATAGATGCATGAATATTTATATATATATATATATATATATATATATATATATATATATATATATATATATATATAAAGAATATATACTTAAATGAATTCATTAAAAACAAGAAAAGAAAAGGAATTATAGCAAGAACACTTTTATAGATAATTTTTATTATATTTTTTTCTGGCCTTGTGCTCATAGTCCGTGGTTCAGATCCCTTTTTATCAAAATATTAACATCTGCCTGAAACATCGTAAATAGCTTCATCTCTTCGTAACTTAAAACTGTTTCATTTACGAAAAATCCCTAAATTGGGGCGTTTCCAATCTGGAGATCAGCAAACTTTATCTCTTTAATTTGGCACTAAAAACTCATAAATACCCATTTGTTTTCCACTTGGATAGTAAGATCATTTGAACACAAAGTTGAGGAGAAATGTGCCCTTCAAAAATATTGAGCCATTTGGCGTGACCTACACCCACAAAACGTCAAAATAACGAGGTTATATAGGCCAACTGCCCAATATTTATGTGGGCCACCTTTTTTCTCAATTTCGTGATCAAATTATCTTACCATCCAATTGAAAAACAAATGGGTATTTACGAGTTTTTAGTACCTATTTAAATTGATAAAGTTTGCCAATCTCCAGATTGAAAACGCCCCAATTCCAAGAATTTTTGTAAATAAAATATTTTTAGATTACGACGAGGTGAAGCTATTCACAAAGTTTCAGGCGGATGTTAATAATTTGATGAAAAGGAGTCTGTACCATCAACTATCATATTTAGTAGCTGAATATGGATTATAATTCAAAAAGAGTGCATATTGTAAATTGTTTAATATTTAGTTATAGAGAAACAAGTAAGAGCAAATGAAAATAAAATTTTTTAGATGGAATAATCTACCAGTGACGGAAGCCCATTGGTTTGAAGTCACTAAAAACGAAAGATCACCAGCATGTCTATAATATGTTGTACACAATTAATTATATTATTATTTATAGTGTCTTAACAGCCTTTTGTTGCCTTATTGAGAAACTAAGGCGATAAAATAATTGCATTCAGTTTCAGCCCAAATGCTCCTCTTCCGATGTGGTAATTAACAATTGAGCCTATAGGTTCTGTGATTTTTTTTTTTTTTGTAGGTAGAATTAGAAATTATGTTCTGTTCCATTTACATTTTTTTCTCATACTAGATGTAAACGTATGAACGATAAGCCGCAAGAGAGATTGAGGAGTAAGGTTTCATGACCCAAGAATTGTGTGCGAAACGAAAGTGCTGTAGAGCTATTGCTCTCAATTTAAAGTAGCAACTTGTTTATTGACAATTATAAACACAAGAATGTTAACATTGTTACAGAATGTTTTAAAAAATCTATAAGCTTCAAGCCTGCATATCTGTAGTAAACTATCTGTACTGTCTAAGCACCATAGATAAAATAGCATAAGAGGAAAAACCTATAAAAAATAAGATAAGACAGTTTACATAAAAATATGTTTAAGTTTCTTATGTTTATAAATTTTATAATTGAGTAGCTAATACATGACTGAGAAAATTGAAAATAATGTCAATTTGACTTGCTAAACCTCATCCACCAGAGGATTAAGTTTTTTTTTTAATACTTCTGGACCGTCATACAAAATATATTTTAAAAAGTATTATTACCACTCGCGTTTTCAAAAGATAGCACGTTTTGTTTCAACTCTTCTTTCTAGACGGAACGTTTTTCGCGTGGTTCCTATTAACACGCGCTCTATAGTGGAACAGAACTTTATGATTAGAAGTCACTACAAAATATAGAAAAATTAAAATTTTGTCTTGCGAATATTGTGTGGAATCAATTACAGTTGGTTTTCCATACATATCATTTACACCCTAAGCATTTGCTTTATTAATTTTTAATTAATGTTATGTTTTCTTAATTATTTTATTTGGAGAATTATTTAGTGAAGTATGGTAGTTATTTGCGAGAATCAATTCCACCAATTAATAATCCATAAAAACATTTATAGAAATTTTTAGTAAACTTAGAAGATAGAAAACGTCATACGCTGATCAGCACCTCATACTTTATATATAATTTATGTACTAGTTGGGTGGAAGGTGATTGAATTTGTGTTTAATAACAATAATTTATAAACAGGTTCATTCAAAAGGACTTAAATTTGGCATATACGAGGATTACGGAAACTATACTTGTGCGGGCTATCCAGGAATATTGGGATCTCTGGAATTGGACGCTTTAACATTCGCAGATTGGGATGTCGATTATGTAAAACTAGACGGATGTTATGCTCATCCTCGAGAAATGGATATAGGTAAGCCTTAGCACACGTAGCAGTATAATTATTATATTTAATGTATTAAATTCATTGTTATTATTATGAATATACAATTTAAAAGTATTATGAGTACATTACATGCCATATTAATCAGCAACTTTTTCATTATAAACAATAATTTGAGTAGAAACGGCGACACACCCTTTCAGACAAAATCAAGGATTTAGTTAATTGTCTCAATTTTAATTAAATTATCAAGAATAAAACCACCTCCAAAAAAGCAAAGTTGCGATTTTGGGAACAGAAAGTAATTTTCTATCATTTTTGGTCTCGACAGAGAACAATTATATTTAGGCTCAGCTAGAAAAATGTAACGGTGACAACACAGGATGACATCCAGTCAATAACAGGAAATAAAATAAGGTTTGGTAAATTAACAGACACTAAGTCTAGTAAGGATACTATCGGATATGATGTGGAAAAGTGAACGTCAGAGAAGCGAGGAAAGGCTAGCAACACAGGAAAAGAAAAAAAGGGTCATTCTTGTTCAACGATGCGGTTTTATTCATGGCCACTGTTTTATAAAAATTCACTCCTATATATGTAAAGTTAAACAATTCTTCATATTATAAGGAGTTGATCAGGGGGTGCGGTCAAATAAATACTAAATTATACAAATAGTATTATTTAATTTTTTTGCCGACGTTTCGATCCACTTTGCAGGTCTTAATCAGGGCGTAGGATGTAGCACTGCGGGAGGCAGTTGAGACACTCAATATTCTTGATATTATTTATTTATAAAGAAAAGTCATTAAAATATATCACGCTACTATTCAAGACCCTTGACGAGGCTAATTGCACCTCTAATATAGTAAGTAATAAAGTAAAAATAAAGAATTGCTTCTGTCCTTTGTTTTATGCTTTCTAAAGCATCCCAAAAAATATGTCTACAAATCACCGTATAGAAAAGCATATTATTTTATGTTTTAATGTAAATCACCTCTGATGAGAACTTTTCCTGCATGCTATATTTGTAAGCTAAAGAACAGAACAGCTGTCGAAGGGAGTTATAAGTCAAACATAATCTGTAAACTGAAAAGAAACATCAACCAAGCAGTAACGCCAGTTCATGTTTTTTTTTCCTCTTCTACTTTATATCCTTTTAGGTTTAAGGGGATTTCCCCGGGTCAGGGAGAGGGTGGGAGATAAAATTAATGCCAGAATTAAAAGCACTCTCCTGGCATCGGGACGCGAACTCGTTATTAGTTTGTCTTCTAAACTTCGGTTTCTCAATTATCTGGTTGCCGGGTACGCGTATTTTTCACACGCTCGGTCACTCCGCTCCGGCACCCGTCCCTGTTCATCCAAATATATATTTCATTCTTCAGTGATATACCTTACAAGGACTGCGCAGTGGAACAGTGGGATTTAATGTTCCATCTACTGCTGGAATCTTCTATCGAAACCTTGTTCCATTATTGTGGCAATAATTCATATACTAAAATACAAAGATTAGCTTGGTTTCAAATTACATATAGGACATCTATCCTTAAAAAATCACTAATCTGGTTTTCCATGGATACAACATCCTCCTGATGGTTTTAGTGGCTGAATTTTACGAATGTTATTAGCACTAAGTGCTAATATACTAAGTGTTTGAATCACTGATTTCGAAGATGTTCTCAACTGAATTGAGTACCGGATTTTAAATAATTAGGAATCTATTATGGTCATATATCTGAAGATATCTGATATCAAGCAGATAACTAGATCTCCAACATTGTTGTAATATAGCCACTACATTCGATATAAAAATAACGGCAAGAAGGAGAAAAACATTAATTCGAATTTGGTATTATTAAATTAGTTAATTATTATTAATAATAATTTCGATATATTTTCCAGGTTACCCTGAGTTTGGCTTTTACCTAAATAGGACTGGTAGGCCAATGGTGTATTCTTGTAGCTGGCCTGTTTATCAAATATATGCTGGTATCCAGGTAATAATCTATTTATTATATAATCCCTGCTTTATTAATTATTTGTAATAAATCACCTGACTGACTTCCCATCAACCAAAAAACAAATATTATATGTCTGTAATCGGTTTGTCGTATCTTTTTACTGTGTTCATTGAGCTTTGTACGGCCCAATACTGTACGACCAAAGGTATGGAAAACTCACAAAGGGTTCAATTATCCGTATTGGCCAACTAGAGTGGCCGCTGCACAATACTGATTACTGAATATTTTGGCAAAGATTCTAGATGAGAGTGTTTATTCAAACATTCCACGTTCAAATCCCAATTCCTTTAAGGGGCGTACACACTAATAGTCCAGTCAAGTTGAGGATTGACCCCAACATTAAAAAAATAAAGATAAAACTTGTCAGAAACTGTTTATTATCCTCCCCATAATATCTGGTAAAAAGCCCCAAACAATCCCGCGTCGGGATAGAAAAATTATATTTTTTTAGTTCTTTAAGAAAATCTCAAAAACTATGAGGTTTCTTGCAAAGATTGCAAGTACTTTAAAATTTCTATAATAATGGTCCAATACAGATTTTTGATGAAATCAATGGTTACGGAGATATTCATGAAATTGTATTTATTTTATTTCTATTTTAAATAAAAATAGTTTAAAACCACAAAATTGATGTTCTTCAAGTTTAGATTGATATTAATTTCATATAATTGATAATATGTGATAGAAGATATTAAAACTTAAGAAAATCTATCATAAACCATGCTCTTATTACATACAGAGAACCAGAAAACTTAAATTTTGTAATTATTAGGCCAAACACGTTTTATGTTGAAAAAATAACTAAAAAAATTTCCAATTTAGGTAACAACCAATTATTTCTTAGTAAACTAGATTACTAATTAAATTTACAAGTAAATATTGTATATTTTAAAACCATTTAAATGAGACTTACAGGCAGTTGAACTACGGTAAAGTTCGGTTTTTCATAAAATCAAGGATTCTTCGCAATTTTTTTTTATTACCTCCCAAATTTACTGAAGATACCATATTTTCAGAAAAACTTTCTTGTTTGATGAACTATAAGTCTATATTAATTAAGTTGTGGTTTGTTCCAGAGTAAGTTGAGATTTATCCCTAATTGTGTTAAAAGATGTAAAAATATTGGGGCCGATCCCTATTTTTACCGTACTAATATTATTTTTACTCAATTAGAGAAAATGTAAACCCAATTTAAGTAATATAGACTTAAAGATTATCAAACATGGAAGTTTTTCCGAAAGTGTGGTACCTTCAGTCCAGTTGAGAGTTTATAAAAGCAATCGCTAGGAATCCTTCATTTTATGAAAATGAATTTACCACAATTCAACAGCTTATAATTCCCCTAAAATTTTAACCTAAATTGAACATATTTTTAGTTATTGCTTTTTATTCAACATAAAACATGGTTGGCTTAAAAATTACAAAATTTAAGTTTTCTGGTTCTCTATATATAATCAGACCATGTTTTACGGTAAATTTTTAATGTCTTCAATCACATATTATCAGTTATATGGAATTAATGTCAATTTAAACTTTATATCATTATCACGAAACTACCACAAAAATTGATATTTAATATAATTTTGTTGTCAATGACCTTTTAGAATCATTAAAAGAAACAAAATTTGAATAATAATTTGAAGGATCGAAAATGTTAAAGAATTATTTAAATTTCAAAAAGGTATCGTCCATGAACAATATAAATTTTGTCGTTTAAAGCTATTTTTATTGCTTAAAGTGGAAATACAATAAATATAATCTCATAAATATCTCCGTAACCATTGATTTTATCAAACAAATTTATAGAATAATTTATATAAATTTGATAAAAAAATTTATAAAGATTTTAGAATACTTTAATATTATACTGAACAATCACTGCGAAAAACCTCTCAGTTTTTGAGATATTCTTAAAAAACTAAAAACACGTAATTTTTTTGTACTTCCTCCCCTCCCCTCCACCCCCAATTAAAACACGACGCTGGATTCTTTGGGACTTTTTACCGTTTATTATAAATAAACAATCTCTGAAAAGTTTCATCTTTATTTCTTAAATGTTGGGATAATGCTGTTTTTTTCTCTTTAACGTTATTGGGCTATAAGCAATTCATATTCAACGTACAGTTACACAATGAACTTAATCCGCAGCATATATTAATATTAATTTAATTCTTATTTAAATAATTGAGTTTATTAACTGTGTTGATAATTGGTGGATCATATATTGACAACTCCCATAACCCTAAGGACAAATCATGAGCTGAGAAAAAGCTGAAAGCTTAGATAGAAATCTGATCACTTAGAAATAGCCATCTAATAGCACCCACAGAACATAATAAGACCCCTTATCGGGGCTAAAGGAGCAATAACATATTTCGGAAAAAGATTTCTTTCTCACAGACCTCATATCAATATTAATTAATGGTAACTTCCCTCGCAGTCCTCTTCCGATTTCCTTTGTCTCCTCAACTATTCCTGGGTATATTGGTCCTCAGAACAAATCACTCTTGCAATTACATTCTTGTAGTCACACTCCTGCCAGGAGAGCTAGATCCATGATCTTGATGTCATAATCTTGTAAGAGACTTGGAGTTAATTCTTGTAATCATTGGTTGAAGCTATTGGTAACAGACATTATAAATAAAATGCTACTTCTTAAGTTCTCACTGTCTGCGATACGTCAACTTTACGATAACGCGTTGGCGACCTACGATCGCCCGAATGCATAAATAATCGTTCATTGATCCAGTGTGTAAGCGCATTGTTTGCAAATATGTGATTTAATCGACCACTTTTAGCCATGGTATCGTTACAGGTCCTATTATAAGAAGTAATATCTTATTGAATACCTCTTACTAAAACGAGACTACCGCTTGATTAAAATGAATGAAATATTTGAAAATGGGACCAAGTTATGATTAGGACGTGATTGAAAGAAAGGTCAGCGCTCTCTCATGGAAACGAAGATACAATAGATGACAACCATTCATCAGCAATGCTCGGATACGCCACTGGCAGCTGATGTTGAGTGATTAATCATACTCATACCGTTAGCTCAGTTCTAATAGAACTAGTCTACTCTTTCGACTCCACGTGCAGGTTTATCAAATCGAACAGATTTGATAACGATATATAATGAAATGGTATTTAATCAGAAGAAATCTTATAGATATGTAACAAATACTGAAACTACAAGACATATGCTGAAAAAGGTTGTTAAACCATCTGACAATAATTATCGATTATTTTCTTTTATAAAATTTTATTTATTTTTCTATAACTAACCATATTCCATAATAACATTAAAATAGTAAAGTATTATTAATCAAATTTTGACTTAGGTGAATGGTTGTTGAAATTGTTTGAGTTTTAATTCTAAGAATTAACCCATAGTTCTTATAACATTTTGTTTTTTATTTTACCTGATTTCTGTTTTTCTTTTCATTTAAATAATGTTTGTTTTTTTCAAAATGGTGTTACTTTTTTATTTTTTTTTTACTATACTTTCACTAAGATATTGTATATATTCTTTAATTTTGTTTAATGTAGTTTTTGGCCAAATGTGGTTTTTATTCTTTGTTCATAATTGTTATTCTCAAGGGACCTCCTCCCAGAATAAAGTTTATTTTCTATTCTATTCTAAAACAGATTTTTTTCCCCATAAGATTCGAAAAATTCTACAAGATTCGGAATCAACTATCTTAAATGGTTGGGAAGTAGTTGCGGTTTGCAGTCATGGGAACAGGCAAATGAAAATGGACGACGATTATTACTGTTACTTGATCACATTTTACTTTATTACTTTTTAAAATATATTACTTATATTTTCATACCTTACCAATACATACGATACTTATATATTTTTATTCATTTCTGTATCGAATAATATTACATAATTCACATTTTAGAATTTATTTATTAGCAAAAACTAATTAAATATTCAAATTTAAATTTAAATTTAAATATTCAAAATTAAATATTCACCATTATGAACTACTTTCAATATGTTTGTAGATTTTTAACATAACCATTTCTGATTCAGAACCATACAAAACACATGAAATATACAATTTTCAGAATTTTGGTCAGACATTTAATTTATAATGAGATTAATTAATTATTTTAATAAATAATTTATTATTTTAATATCCTAGATAGTATAATTAAATACACGTATATATTTATGAAAACGTAAATATATATATATATATATATATATATATATATATATATATTTCTTACATTAAATACAAACATCTAGATTTCACACGAGTATTTATTTTTAATCAATGATGGAATCACTTTCATTATCAATAACCTTTTGCCATTTGTGTGCAAAGTGTAAATTTTCAATGCAGGATCGATAAAAATCAATTGCTTTTTCTGCAAAATATATAGAGTTGGCATTTTATACATCATTCAAATTTTCAAACTAATGGAAATCCGATGGTGCAACATCGAGCGAATATGATGGATGAGGCAGTAAATCACACCCCAATTTATTAATTTTCTCCTAATTGTTCGCCTTACGCAGTGCGATCTTGAATTTTGGAATAACGCCTTTTTCTATTGACAATCGCTGGCCACTTTTCAATTGAAGATTAATTTAAACGATCCAATTGTTCACAATAAAGGTCTGCATTCACAGTTTGCCCAAGTTTCAGCACTTAAAAATGAGTAGCGTTGGGAATACTCCACCAAACACACAAAAGGGACATTTGGGGGTTTAAACCTGGCTTAGCAGTCTTTAGTGGCGATTCTTTTAGAGTCTTTTGCGATTTGGATTATCATTCAGGTCCCATTTTTTATCCCCGATGATCAAGCGGTCAAAAATCGTTTCTGTATTATGCCGTTGAAGCAATAATTTGCATATGGTGTTTTCCCAATCTGCTGCAAATATTCTTGGATGGTCGAGCAAGGTTGGTTACGACTGTATGACGATTCCTCGATTGTCTGATACGAATTTGCTTTGACATTCGCCCTTAACACCTCGTTGTTGGTCTTCCTGATCGATACGAGTCTGAAAGATCAAAATTACCGGATTTCAACTTGAAAAATCACCTTGGACATTTACGTGCCGGTTGTTTAGTTATTTTTTTCAAGATAAAATGTTTTCTCACCTTCCCAGGGGAAATGAATGCTACTTGTAGTAATCATGGTTGCGCTACTGATCACACTAGAAAAATTTCATAAATTGTGTTAAATTTAATATTTAAAAATATGCAATTTTTTTATTCGATTTTAATTTAAGTGCCTAAAAATTCAATTATTCCTGGGAAAAATAACGTAATATTCCATCTTTTCCAGCCAAATTTCTCATCGATTATTGATAGCTGTAATCTGTGGCGAAATTTTGACGATATTCAGGATTCTTGGTCAAGTTTGGAGAGTATAATTGATTATTACGGTAATAACCAGGACACTATTGTACAAAATGCAGGCCCAGGTCACTGGAACGATCCGGATATGGTAATATATATAAATGTATCTGCAATTGTAAGATTAAAAAGAATGTTGTTATATATATACATATAATTTGATTACAGCTTATCATTGGAAATTTCGGCCTGAGCTATGAACAAAGCAAAACACAAATGGCAATGTGGGCAATTCTGGCAGCACCACTTTTGATGTCAGTCGATCTTCGCTCAATAAGACCAGAATACAAAGCTATTCTACAAAATAGGAAAATTATTGCAGTAGATCAGGATCCGCTTGGTATCCAAGGAAGAAGAATTTATAAAGTACGTAAGCAGTATATGCATATATATATATATATATATATATATATATATATATATATATATATATATATATATATATATATATGAATTTATTTCCTTATTCAACCTATTAATTAATAATTTAAAATAAATACAGAGAACTACAGATGTGAAGTCTCTTTCACAGCTGTTTTATTTCTTGTTATGGTGTTACATTTCTTGTTATGTGTTAGTCCGTGGTACAGACCCCTACTCATCAAATTATTAATATCCGCCTAAAACATCGTGAATAGCTTAATCTCATCGTAAACTGCAACTTGTTCATTTACGAAAATTCTCGGAATTAGGTTGTTATCAATCTGGATATCAGCGAACTTTGTCTATTCAATTAAACTCATGAATACTCATTTGTTTTCCACTTGAATCGTAAGATAGTTTGATCACAAAATCGAGAAAAAAAGTGGGCTACAAAAATATTGGGCGTGATCTCCACCTCCCAAATATCAAAATAACGAGGTTATACAGACCAAACAGCATAATTTGTGTAGGTCATTTTTTCTTTCGATTTTGTGATCAAATTATCTTACGATTCAAGTGGAAAGCAAATGGGTATTTATGAGTTTTTAGTACATTATTAATTTAATAAGAAAATGCCCTATTTCTGAGAATTTTTATAGATAAAAAAAATTGTAGGTTACAATAAGATGAATCCATACACAATGTTTTAGGTGGATGTTAATTATTTGATAACAAGGGTTCTGTACCACAGACTATTTTCAATAGCAAAATCAATATATTTTTCTATGCTGCAGTAGATGTCAGCAATTTAGCAAGCTATTTTTTTTTTTTTTTTTTATTGAATAACTTATAAATAATCAACTATTACAAAGCTATTCATTTATGTAACATCCTGAATTTTAAAAATAGTTAAAATACTGAGATGTTGTCAGAGATTCCCATCTACCCCATGAAAGATGGTTCATGCCCCCTCCCCCCCAAAGAAAATTTATTCCTCTTTTTTTCTTCAAAAAGTGCAAATAAAAATAAAATTATAAAAATTGCATTTTAGCTTTTCCCTTATTTTGAAAGTTCTCCCCAATTCAAACCTCAGAAAAATATCATTCCCTCCAAAAACGCATAACTCCGTAAATATCTACCCCCTCAATCATTTTCAAGGCACAACTTCAACTTCAACACCATGTGACCCTCTTTTGGCCACCCCTGGGTGGTGTAACATTCATCAGTACAATATTATACATTCTAACTTCTTTTTCTTTAACTTTTTTTTTTTTAATTCTTATAGATTTATATATAAATTAATTATTTCAGCACAAGGGTATTGAAATATGGGCCAGGCCTATCAGTCCACTATTTCAAAATTACTTTTCGTACGCCATAGCATTCCTCAACCGAAGAACAGATGGCACACCTTCTGACGTTGCTGTGACTCTTCAGGAAATGGGACTCATTGCTCCCGGTGGCTACCGGATTGAAGTGAGAAAATGAATAATAAATATAATAAATGAACTGTGAGAAATCATTTTAAATATTATTATTTTTCAGGACCTTTACGAAGATGTTGATTATGGAGTTTTAACACCACAGACAAAAATTAAAGTGAAAGTTAATCCTTCAGGTAAATATTTTGATACCTTAATACGTATTTATCACCATACATAAAAATATGAAGCGTTTAAAATTAACATATTAAAATATAAGCCTTATATATTTATATGTTATATTGAACAAAGTATAAATTAATAAAAACATAGGTAAAAACAAATAATAATAAACTACATCTCAAACAATGCAGTAGTACGTAAAATTTTAAAACTAGTTAAAAAATGAGAAATTTAGTAATTCACTCAAATACGAGATTACTACAACATGTATTGCATGAATTGTTTCAAATAGAAAGCTCTTTTCACTAATACATTTTTATTTATAGAACAAGGTTTTTTTATTCATAACAAGCGGTGTGATCTCAATGTTACTCGCTGGTCAAAAAGTTAGGACACCTGATCTAACATGATCCGATTATTTTGAACTAGAAACCCTAGCGGGACACCCAGTTCTTTAAACTAAAGCTAATAGAAGGCTCTACAATACCTCTTTCCTTAATATTAGCAAAAGAGAATTAGCGCGTGGATTTTGAATTTTGTTTTCACGTGCAATGCTCCCCTCCCAACTTCGCAGACAATTTTCGGTTTCTGAGGGGTGTTCAGTTTCATGTAGGCTTGATATAATCTGCAATTGAAAAGATTCAATTGGGTTTCCCCTTTCAATGGGCGTTATTTTGATATTTCTGACTTTAGTTGGCAGACTAATGCAAATTGAATGCCGAGTATGGTCATTATGACCGTGAATGATTAAAGGTTTTCTGCAAATAAGTCAAATGACTTAAACTCGGATCTTGTGTTGTGGGGAAGAAAAAAAAACAGATTATTTAGATAAAACTAAAACTATGTTTATCACATGAGTCTCAGCAATTTCCGTTGACTCATTTGTATCCAAGAGTAGATTGCCTAATAGTTTATTCTCCCATTGTAATTAATTAAAATTAACATTCTTTTTTATTTTAAAAATCATTATTTTATTCAATTTATTTATTTATTAGCGTTACGGTCCTACAAGAATCTGAACCTCTCTTATTATTTCCCTCCACTCTACTCCATCCAGGGCAAGTATTCCCCAACTTCGGACTCCCGCTCTTTTCAGGACATCCTCTACCTCGTTCAGTCAGCTATGACGTTGTCTTCCTCTGCTACGTCTTCTGCCAGGTTGGAAATTGAGTCTGTGAGCATACGTCCCTAAACCTAAACATCTGACTTGGGTACTTTATCCCTCAAAATTGAATTTTATATTTTTACCTTTATATTTGACATAGTTACCTGGTTATAACTATTTACCACTTACTGCTAGTGTTTTTGGTGTTAAATATCTTGAATCTGGTTGAGAAAAATGTTTATGATTTGAGCAGGAGCGTCCTTAGTGTGTTAAGTCCTCAAGGTGTACTTACCTTCACGCTGCAGGCCATAAGCTAATACAAATTCGAATCCGACCTTTTAGTTGAATTTTATTAGGGAAGTGGCCGACAAATTATATCTCAATCTTTACACTCTGACTACAATAGGTAACAGCATGCAAGATTACACATCCTTTCTGCCCTTCTTGAAACACATGAGCCATTTAAGCCCATTAAATAAAACAAATTAAACATTTTTTTATTAAAATTAAAAAGCACCCCATCGGTCGCATTGATGCCTATTTTTCTAATATGATAAAGAAAATTAGCCAACTGTTGATCCGGGAATGATCAAGCATTTAGACGACCAAGATATGTTCAGATTTAATAGAATTTTCCCCCCTATATATATATATATATATATATATATATATATATATATATATATATATATTTTTTTTTTTTTTTTTTTTTTTTTTTTCTTATTCAGGGGTCAATCCAGGAATATTTTTTAGAGGATTTGATAAAAAATCTTAATGAGGCTCTATGATATTATAATTACTAAGGGCAATGCAGATAGGAATCCTACTGTTTCACTTTAAATCCAAAACAGGGTTATATGAGATTATACTTACAGTAATAATTATTATCTGATTAAACCGTGTCCCCTTGTCTTACTCTTTTAGATTACCAAAGATTGTGTTGTACAACACCAGCATTGTACAGAGATACGCAAGAAAAACGAGTGACCTATACAAATTAAAAGCCACACCTACATTTAGTCAATCGCATAAAGATACTATTAACTATTTAGAATTAAGAAAAAAAAACAGTCAACAATTGAAATTAATGAATCTTAAACACTTTCATGATTTAAGTAGTGGATAAACCATTGTATATAATCGTTATATTTACAGGTAGAAATTATGCACCTAGAAATTTTTTTCCACAGATAATATTAAAATTATCGTCCAATTTAACATGCTAATCACTATTTTGTAATTGTAAGGTCAATTCATGGAGTATCATCAAATAAATTCATAACTTCATTGATTTCAGGGGTTGTGATCTTAAGAGCAAATGTACAACCATCTTATGTTCAAACAACGCCATATGATCCATTTAGACAAGTATTTCCTGCAGTCGACCGAACAACTTTCAAGAAAAAATAAGAAGAAAGCAAGAAAAGACCAAAATGCAGCCTATTTATCTCAACGAAATAATCCCAATTCAGTTTGATGACTGGATTTTTGTATTTATATACTCATATTGAGACATACCTACATAACGAAATTTGACAAAATCTGAAATTATTTGCTCCCAAAAGTAAATTAAACAAATATTCTGAAATGAACTGTTTTCTCTTGAAGTATGCCATAGAAGTATTTGAAATATGAATCAACTGATGACTTCCTTTCATGAAGCTATATAGAAAAATCATTCAATTCGCAGAGTCTCTTAAATTTATTTAGAATATTTTACCACATAACAATCTATTTAATTATGTAGTTTCAATAAAAAGAAAATTTTAACAACAAACCAAGCAATAAAGTATGATCTCTCCTTTAATGTAATAATAATGTGTATATGTATGTGTTTTGTAAATATTCTTCTCTATAACATAAAAATATGAGAACTGACAATGAAAGAAATGAGCTATTTAAATAATTTGATTTTTTTTTTAATCGAAAACAGTTATATAACATATAAATATTGTATATTTCACAAAAGCAGTAGGACTGCAGTAAACAGGGTTCATAAACCATGTGTACTAATAGTCATTATAATCATCATCATCATATTCATTTCTTCTCAAATATTGTAATGCAGTGTGAGGTTGCTGTCAGTAAAACTTGGACCTCACAAGTCATATAGAAAACTAATTATGTATCTAGAAACGGTAATGATCATCAACAAGAACACAAAAAATGAGGACTCTCATTTAATGTCATACTTGAAAGTTTTGTTTAATTAGTGCTCCATTTTTACTCATATTGGCAGCAACAATATAATTTATATTTATTTTTTATAAAATGTAAAATAAAAATCTATTTACTACTATACTTAATAAGGGCTAGTACAGTTTTTATGATTCATTGAAGTAATTTAAATAATAGTTTTGATGAAAGAAAAAAAGTATTTATATGATATTGTAATTAGTAATAAGTATAGAAAAATAGTTGGAAAAATTTAAAGATACTCAGTGAACCAAACCTTAAACTGTAAATAAGAAAAGGGTTGTAAGTGATTTATAACTGTCAATATGTAAGTAGGAATCAATCCAAGAGAATTTTGTTTTCACAAAAATATTTTCTGACAGTAGTTCGATTCAATATATGGAGGTTCTTTTATTTTTTTTTTTTTTTTTTTTTTATAAATCTTAGTAAAATTGTATTAGTTGAATAGTCAGAAGAACCAAAGTATGACTATTGTTTAGACTTTTGTTAACTTATCTCCTTTCATAAAGATATCCATTTTTTGTTTTTTGTCCAAAAACATTATTAATTAATTTCTTAATTTCCTAACAGAAGGGATAGTATCTTCTCATTAAAACACTTCCAATAGTTTATCATACAAAGAAGTTCTTAGATTATCCTAATTTTTTCCCATTTATTTAATTTTTATCATGTCTTTAGGCGTTTATCTGAAGAACTTCTGGAAGTGATGCATGAAGTATTGTGTCAGAATATATTTTATCATGTTAAAGTATTGTGAAAAAATGTTGTGAAAAAATACAAATAAGACAACAAATAAAAATGCTGATGCATGTCGTGAGTTATGAAATTTATCATATAGTTAAAAAAAAAATAAACAAAAACAAGGCCTTCTATGGTAAAAAATCTATTTCACATATAGCTAAAATGCCTCTTTTCTTTAATGTTTAGCAAAGAATGTTTTAGTTCAAAAAATTTGAAAATTTAGACAGTGAACTTTCTCTTATGATACCTTATTTTTCCAATTAAATAGAAAATTAAGTTTAGAGCTGAATAAGATTTAAAAAATTTAGAACAGTAATGAGCAGTCATATTGACTGAAATAATAAATGAACTCATTTGTTAATGTTATAGATATTTTTTATTAGTATTATTATAACAACCAATAATTTGTTACGCTTTACCATTTTATTCTAATTTCAAGTTTTTGTCACAAATTTTTTTTTTATAAATTAAAACATAAATGTTTTATATTACAATAAAACAAATTTAAATTTATCAATGGCAGGTTTTTTATTATTTTTCTATAATACCTGAATAATTAAACCAGGATTATAAAAATTTTAGCTCACTCTGAGTAATGGATGAAGAACTTTTTTCAAGGAAAACCCTTTCTATTTCCTTTTAACTCAGCAGTCTGATTCAAAATGAATCCTTTCCAGTAGCCCTGGATCATTTGTGTCTCCTGTGGCAAAATTAATGAAAGGAAGATACCAGTAGTCCCATTTTCTCAAAAAAAAAAAAAAAAAAAAAAAGAAGTATGTAGTTAAATAAATTTCATAATGACCTGATCATAGGTATGGCACAGACAATGGCTGGGGTACATCACCACCATTCCACTATAGCCTAGTCACCTTGTACATGATAAGTTGCATTAAATGGTCGTAGAAGGTTTCTTTTTATTTTCTTGTATGGGATGTGACTGAGGTGCAAAATTCAAGTTTTCGACCTCGGTGCCCTTCTCCCCCAGATCACTTTTTAAAACCCTAAAATTTTATATTTTCGATTTCCCTCATAATGGAGCACGCTTTCGACAAAAAACATTCTATACAGTTTTAAACTAAAATAAATATGTTACAATTTAAGATCAAAACATGTTCGGTAAGTTTAATAATTTTTGAGACACAGGCTTTCAAAGTTTTGAAAAATTTTCGAACTTGGAAATTTTAAGATATTTTTCCTGTTCGATCATATTCAATTGTCTTTTATCTTCAATACCCTGCCTGATATGAGTAAGCGAAGTAAATATTTATTGATTTTAATATTTTGAAGGAGGAGTGATGGAGAGGGAAAAGATTTGATGGAAGAGTGTAGTCCTTGAGCAAGACCCCCCCCCTTCCATATCAATATAAATTGCACATCGTTGTGTTCCTTGTAACTACATATTTAAAAAAAGTCAATTTTCCCACAGAAAAAAAAAGTGCCCTCACTGTCCCAAAATGGCGTCCATACATGGCTGAGTGACGACTTCGACTTGAGATTAAACAGTCACTGAGATTAAACAGTTGGCTTAATTTCGTCATAATTGGTCTTTTATTAAAGCTGGATTGTCAGAGTATAATAAAGCATAACAAAAAATTTAAAAATAATTAGTCTTAGCAACAACAAATACCAGTAAATTCAATTTTTAAAGTCGTTCAAACTAAAGTTGATAATCATGCGTCATTTGTAATTAAACGGTCAACATTAACGAAAAATATCCTTACATAAAATATCTAGAAAATATATTCATCTTTCTAAATCACTGATTAATTTTTAACATATTTGAAACAGTTCTTTAGAAAATGGAGTTAATCGGCGGAAAAGCGGCACAGACGTAGGCCCCTACGAAAAATATCGAACGCAATAAATGACTCAGGTCATTCTAGCTAAATCATTTATAGCTTTTATTATTTATAGCCATTACTATATCCATGTATCCTACTCCTTCAAAATAATTACTTAAATAAATGTTTACTTCATTTACTCTTATAAGGCAGGTTATTGGAGACAAACATTTTCAAGTTTCGAAAATTTCATTCGCTTCATTTACAATTTTTGTATGCACTTGATGTAAATGTTGGTTAAATAAAATTTTTATTTCGATTTCAGTCTTGTGGTGTGAGAAGATATCTCTCCCTCTTCTACCAAACCTCTCCTCCTTTATTACCCCTCCATCAAAATGTTAAAATGAATAAAAATTTATTTCACTGAGTCATATAAGACAGACTATTGAAGATATGATTGTGCATATGATCAAACAGGAAAAATAGAGCTAGACAAGTTCGAAAATTTTTCAAAACTTTGAAAGCCTGAATCTCAAAAATGATTAAACTTACTGAACCTGTTTTGATCTTAAATTGTAGCATATTTAATGTAGTTTAAAACTATATAGAAGGTGTTTTGTCGAAAACGTGCTACTTCATGATAAAAGTGTGGAAATACCGAAAAAAGTTCAAAAATATATTAGTTTTCAGGGTTTTAAAAAGTGACCCGGGGGGGAGGGGTCGCCGAAAACTTGAATTATGCATCTTAGTCACATCCTATACAAGAAAAAAAAGAAACCATCTGCCCCCATTCGATTCAACTTAGACCCCTTCCCCTTTTCATGACAAGTTTACTGGACTATTCAAAATATTGGTGGGGACAAATGAGACCATGTTGAGCATTGGGGGAGGGGAGGGTGGAAGCGCCCAACCACTATTAATTTATCAAACCAATTTTAAGCTATAGACATTTTTAGCATGTATCGCGAAAAATTAATGTTTCTGCTGATATTTGGACTATAAGCCTCTATTATTTGGATCCTAATTCTGGAAACTATAAAACTAAATACAACGTTGATAAAAACCGGTAAAGAACTGGGGTTGGAAATAAATACAGACCACACAAAATGTACGATCAACTGCAAAAACGGTTACAATTTCGGTGATGTAGATTTAGAAAGGAGTACATTTGAACACGCAGAGAAGTTTAATTACTCAGGGTCTACGAAAATTAGATTGAAGGCGGGAAGTACTTGTTGTCGTTCTTTATTAATGCAAAACTACTTACCTCGTGCCTTCAATCCTGAAACTTAAAGAAGTTCATCACCACGAACAAGATGTTCTCTTTTATCTGCACTTAAGCCAGCGAATATTCCTAACTCAGAAGGCATATTTTTCTGCAATTTAGAATACAACGCGTGCACCACAGGCGGATCTACGGGGCGGAGGCTTTCGGGCTGAAGCCCCTCCCCCAAAAAAAAAAAAAAATTAAAGCTTTGTAATAATTTATTGTAGTCATTTTTGCCATGACCACTGTCATGAAACCTTTAAGGTGACAGGATATCAGAACATATCATTCTTTTTACATAGCTTGAGGTGGATTTTAACGTATTTCGTAATAACACCTCAACTTAATTAATACGGACTTAAAGCTTACTAAACAAGAAAGTTTTTTCTAAAAATTGTTTTTCTGTAGTATAGTTAAAAAATAAAAATCACAAGTAATTCATAATTTTTTAAAAACAGAATTTAGTTCAATTTATCCACTCGAAAGTAGTGTTGCCCAAATGCAAGACCTGGCCAGTCTTGGTCTTGGTCTTGCAGTGTTCATACCTAGTCTTGGTCTTGGTCTTGATCTTACACACTCGGCCTTGGTCTTGCAGCATGAGTCTCGCAAGTCTTGCAATTACCTATTAGGCTATTGCTATTTATTAAACACGTCAATTTACGTCTTAGAACGACACAAAAGAATAGATACATTGGAGCCTATCTTTTGACCTAGACATAGCTAAGTTCAACCAAATTTGCTTGAATATATATACTTTAAAGACAGTGTCAAGAGAGATAGTGATAGACCCTCACCTTAGATGGAATGTAAGGGTTGTGGTATAATTACATTAAATACAATGTTAGCATTTATTGAAATAAAAAATAGAACACACATTTAGTGTTTAGTTATTTAGTAGTTTATTTAAACAATAATAACAATTTGGTCCGACCAGATGGTAACGTCTATCGGTCGGTACTATTGATAATAAATAAATCAGTTTTTAAATAGTGACATATTTTTATTTAACAAAAGTTATAGTTATGATTGTGTGTGTGTGTGTCTGTTGTGAAAATACTAATTTGCCAGGCTCACTTTGAATTCTTTTCACATAGCTGAAAAGCGACTAACAAAAAACAAATCCTACGAACTGTAATCCAACAACTGTTGAATAAATAAATAAATTTATTCGAATGAAAAACAAATTAAAATTAAATAATATTAGCATAAAATTAAATATTCAAATAATATTGTTTGTTATTTTATCAGCAAAATAAAAATATTTTTATATTTCTGAAATATATAATTATAAGATTTATAGAATTATTGAAGGAAGCTAGTCGACTGTTCTACATATCATGGGTGATAAATATTCAGGAGGAAGTCAAATTTTTTTTATTTTTGCCGACGTTTCAAACCAAACATGAGGGGCAATCATCAAGTACTCTGGAGTACTTGAAAGCCTCCAGTGCTCGAACCACGCACTAATGATGACCTACATGTTTGGGTTGAAACGTCGGCAAAAATAAAACAAATTTATAATGACTGCTTCCTGAATATTTATCACCTTTAAGACTTAGAATTAAATATTTATAATAAGAAGGATATAATTTGTCCGAAAATTATGAAATAAGTCAACAGCGACTTAATATACGTTGTCGGAGATTTAATAATTAGTAGGAACCTTATTCCTTTATTTGAGAATGTAAACGAAGAGAATTGTCCACGTTATGTATTCTTGCAAACTATAAAGCAATAAATAAGATAATCAAATGAAACGCCGTCCGTAAACAGGAAATCTTTCTTGGAATCAAAGTAGGAAATTAACCACTTCTTCTGGCTCGAATACACAAATGTTTTGTTTTTTCGTCTAGGATATTACTTACTAATGTTTTCATGACGAATATCAAGCTATTTCAAGAGAATTTTAATTTTTCTTCATTAAACTAATGATAATAATAATAAAAATAAAAGACTTAGCGAACCAAAAGGTTCAATGCTGATACCTTCGTTAAATTTATATAATTAGATATTTAGTTTGGCGTAAATTGGTTATATAATCAACTCAAGGAAGACACAAGAATAGATCTTTTTTATGCCAAATTACAAAATAGATTTATTTTTTATTTTAACTTGTTTATTGAAAAACATTACAATCTGTCTCTAAGGAGAAGATTTGTTTTAGAGCAAAATCCAATAAGATCTATTTTGATTTATTTTAGTGCCAAATTGCAAAATAGATCAAAAAAGATCTTATTGGATTTTGCATTTTAAATGTCTAGTCAAGATAGTATAGATCTGTTGAAGATATAAATACAGGGGCCTGTCAGGTATGGGTCGCAAGACTTAGCTGCTGTCATAAAAAAAAATCCCATAATATCCAAACAAAAAATTACCTAATGTCTCATAGAAAGGTCGCGAGATAATTTGAAAATAGAGTTGTATCTCTGAGCACATCGCAATTTCAAGAGAAGAGCCCGACAGGCTCTCGACTCATATGCAAGTCCACCCTCGTTAAAGGGTTAGTAAATATCTTACATTGTGTTTTTAATTATTACTAATTATGTCTGATCTGTGTTTAAGAAGAAATTTCGTTCTTAAGAATCCTTATTTTGGCTTTTTTAGTCTTCTAGGAGCAAACTTCTAGAGTTTCTAGGAAATAGTGTTTTAACTAATTTCATATTCATCTGGCATTGTTTAACTTTTTTTACTGCATAAAAATCGGGCTCTGGTCATAATATTGGCTGGCGCAAAAACTGTTACTATGCTCGATCTAGGATGATAAATTTCAACTTTGCTGCGTAGACTACCATCTTTCAAAACATAAATACATATGTTTATATAATTCAAAAGCTAGAGGACGAAGTTAGTAGGTGTACCTGTGGGGAATCCCACATAATCATTTGATAAGTCGTAACTGATGCAATATTATCATCACATTATAATAATCAATAAAATAGATTTCAGTGTTACTTTATAGTTACGACTTACTTTATAGTTAAATGGAAACCAAATACTCAATAACGCACAAATCTCAGATTTTACTTAAATACGAGACTGCAAGACTAGTGCAGGTCAGTCTTGGTCTTGCGCAAGACTTGGAGGGTCCGGTCTTGGTCTTGGTCTTGCGAAAATCAAACAGGTCTTGGTCTTGCAAAAGTGCAAGACCATTTTTGGGCAACACTACTCAAAAGTCCTCTTCAAATGGTTTTAACAATGACAAACTCCACTTCCGTTTGAAATAAATTTTGTCTATTTTACATTGAACCAATTTTTAATTAATTATAATAAATTATGTTTTAGTTATTCCTACCTATTCATCAAAAACCATGACTAACTTAAAAACTACAAAACTTAAATTTCCTACTATTCTGCCGAAAATCGGGGCATTGTTTATATCAACTTTTTTTTTATAGCTCTTGAAGTGTACTATTACTTGTTTAAATATATCCCTCCACTTTTCCTCTTAATATATACTCTCTACTCAAACGTTTGATAAATTGCTTTGTACGATTCATCATCGGGTTACCAAGGGGGGATGCCTCTGTTTCCCATTTGTATGCAGAATTGAAGTGGCTTTATCCTTCCTACCGTCGTAAATATTTCCTGGCATCCTTCATCTTTCATGTCATCCAATCCCACCGCCCCTCATACATCTCCGAGCTCCTTCAATTCAAATCCTCTGTTCGTTCCCGGTCTTCTGATTTATACATAAGGGCCCATCGAACTGCTGCTTTCGACAGATCTTTCATTATCCAATCCTCATCCCTTTGGAACTCCATCCCTCTCACATTCGTCAATCCAATACCCTTCCTACTTTTAAATCCCGCCTGTTCAATCATTTCTTATCCATCCAGTCCCCATGAAATTGTAAATAGATACTAATGTAAATATGTATATAAATTATTAGTTCGTTCTTCATTATTTTTACTTCATCCTTTTTTTTTTCAATTTTTCATTTTTTATTATAACTGATTAAAATTAGAAAGTAACTTATAATTTTTCATTTTTTACTATGACTTTAATTACTCTGTATTTGTATTTATCTATCACTAAGGCTCCTTAGCCCATATTTATGTCTTTCTGTATTACTCTAAAGGGACTCTTCCCAGAATAAATAAAGTATTATTATTATTATTATTACTTACGGGACACCCTGTATATCAAGTTTCACGAGTATAATTATAATATATAATATTCATATAATAATATGTATAATAATTCACATTTTCCGTGGCGAACTAGTCGGATTGTGAAAAGCGTTGATTTTTATTTGAGCTTGAACATAGTAAGAAATCAAAATGTTTTTTTTCTTTTTTCCATCATTCATTTTTAGCTGAAAAAGTTCTATAAATGTCTTATTGTTATGAAGGCTGTTTCTCCTCCTCTCTGTGTTTAATCCATACAGATAGGTTATATATTCAATGTATTTTTTTTTTTTTTTTAGATATTTTCAAGCAATCAAGATGTTACTTGTTAATAAGGACATTGGGCCCACAGCGTATGACGTACCTCCCTTTGATGGTGTCACCATGAAAATTATTAAACTACATTAATTTATTTATTAGATTATTACTGGTACCTTCCCTCCATCATTTTTTCACGGGGAATTTTCCTACATTTTGCACCAGATCTACATTGAAATTTAAAAATACTTGGGAGCTTCAATTCAAATTTGGAATAATTTTCACTTTCCTATGGATATTGTAAGTTGGACAACAAATATCTCATATTTCCAATAAATGTCTTGAGATTCTTCAATGTTAGTCATACTTCCTCTACAACCGATGTTGCAATGCTACTTATTTTCAACTTACCATTCAAAGCATCTATCTATATATTCATCTGCCGGAGTCATTAGCGCACTCAGGATTTAATTTGGAGGGGCTTTAATTTTACATATATATATATTACGTTAATTACTTTGGAAGAAAAATAAAGAAACTAACTATCTATACGAAACGGTATTTAAGTGATTCTAAGTCCTATTAAATGTAATTATACGAATAATAATACTTTTAGAGGTAATTTTTGATTTCTTTCGTAAGATATGGTTATATTTTATATATCCCTAACAGTATGAGTCGATCTTTCTCTCTTGCTATGTATATAATTTTCAAACATGTATCTGTAATATTCCAGTAGGTTTATAGTTTTTATGAAGTTAACAAAAGAAATAAAGATGTTCGTATTTCCATAACAACACATGTGCAAATACCAAAATGTCATATATTTACAATAAATGGTTCTATTTTGATGACTTGCTAGTAGGAAATTTAATTATCGTTTAAATAAACATACAAGAAATGTGTACTTTTGAGTTATTTGAAAATAAAACCTTGAAGTGTTAAAATTCATGGGAAAAAAATGGTGGGGATGGGAGGGAAAGTTAAAAACGCCGAAAGGTACTTCTATAATGTCATCATAATTTACAAACAAAATTTCAACCCTTTAACGTTATTCAAAGGAGAAGTAGAAGAGCTAAAAACTTTAAAAACAGAAGAAAACACAAAACAACGGTATGACATCCTGAAATTTACTCTAACTTTTGTGGTTTTGTTGTTTGAAGACAGCACTGCAACATACCCAATGACAACATATTTAATCTGAAGGAGCTAGTCCCAAATACCAAAATGAAGAAGGGAAAAAATATATATCAAATATTTCCGTAAACCATATAACCATGTCCTAGGCGTGCTAAGATAAATACAAAATGCATCTCTAACACTTCCCTAATAAATGAAAAAGTGCATTTTGGTCGCGAAAATATGACAAAAAATATCTGGCCAAAGTTCTATTAATTTTTTTAATGATTTAGGTTCTTGTAAATTTCAAAAATTGTTTTAATATTACAGCATTTTATAATAATTATTAAATTTGGTTTGAATATTTTCAAATGATTAAATTCAAACTTGTTAAAAAAAAAGAACATTTAAGGTAACAATAATGTGAATAATTTAACTGAATGACATTTATTAAATAACCAAACAGCACAAATTTATTTGTTTACAGAAAGGAGCATGATCTGTTAATATAAGAACAAAAGGTAAAAATAAAGGAAGAATTAAATACTATACAACATTAATAGTGTTTTTGAATAATTGTAAATATTTTACAATATTTCATAAAATCTTAAATAATAAACTATAAAATGGACTATGTTATAACGTAACAAATAATTACTTTATTTTTATAGCAGCCCTAAGTTTAGCAGAACGACTTCGAGGGTTCCTATCAACTTCTGCTTGGGATGGTAAAACAACATGTTTAGTTGTTAACAACCAACTAGTCTGCTTAATTTCATTAATATCATTTTTATCAAAACACGTTGAATAGCTTACATAATTCAAGGGTATATCCCCAGCAACAGTATCATGGGAACCAGTTAAATGCCTCTTAACTATTCTATCTTCAAGAGAATGAAATGATAGTGTTACTATTCTGCCATTCAGCTTCAAATACCAATCAGCTAGTACCATTCCATAATTTATTTCATTTAATTCATTGTTCACAAATATTCGCAAAGCTTGAAAAATTTTTGTAGCAACATGAGAAGGTCGCTGTAATTTGTCTAATCTATGGTCACTGGAATTAATGTTTTCAACTAATGCAGCTAAATCATGAGTGGTTTTTATCTCTCTAAAAGAGTATCTAGACTCAATTACTGCTCTTGCAATCTTCTTAGCAAGTTTTTCTTCACCATAAATTTTAAATATTTTATACAAATCATGTTCATCAGCCTTTAATAAAACATCCAAAGCAGTAGGTTGATCAGGAAACCTATTTCCATCCATTCGCATATCCAAAGGCCCACTTTTACTCAGAGAAAAACCTCTTTCAGCAATATCCAGCTGATCGGATGAGCAACCAAAATCAAACAAGATACCATCTACTGAATTTTTGTTTATGTTTAAATTGTTTAATAATTGTGGTAATTCACTGAATCTACCAAGACAGGGGATAATCTGATGTGGGAATTCTTTAGAGAGTTCAACTGCATTAGAATATGCAGATGGATCACGATCCAAACATATAACTCTCAATGAGGGTACAGCTTCTAACAAAGCTTTTGTGTGACCTCCAGAACCAAATGTCATATCAATAAATAAATTATTTTTATAAGGGCTTAAATAAGATAATACTTCTTTAACCATAACAGGAGTGTGGATTAACCTAACACTTTGAAATGGTATTTCATGGTTTTTCCAGATTTTTCGAAGAGCCATAGTGTCTTTTTAAAACTTTTGACAAAAAACTAGAATTTTCTTCTTTTAAATAACTTAAAAAGTCATCTGAAAGAACCCCCCTACATTGATCAGCTGTAAGCCCCGTAGCTGAAGAATTTACTAACCTATCATATGCTTTCTTATACTGATTGTCAGCAATCCTATTCAAAGATTCATAAATTTTCAAACACCCCTCTTCATTTTCACAATCTGGAGAATCGGGTCTTGTAAATGTAATTTTAATTTGATCCCTAATATGCTGTCCAAGATCTCTGAAAAAACAAATAATGACAACATGAGAAACTTAAAACGTAAAAAGTAAAACAAACTTTTAAGCTATAAAAAAAAGTTTTTTAAATATAGAGGAAGGGGTGGCGGTCATAAATAGACTAAATTGGGGCAAAACTATTTTATTTTAAGCCGTTTCATTACAACGTAAATATAGGTTTCATTTACAATCATTCATGAGAAAAAATTAATCCGCTAATGTCAGTGATTTTATTGAATACTGGCTGGTTGACCGTGAGATATTATTGAGTAAGGAGATGGTACTGGGCGGCTGTCATAAAAAGAGGAAAATAATAAAAAAATATTTTATTTAAAAACAATGATTCGACTTTGTAGATTTTCTTCAGGTGAATATATGCAGCATGGAGTTTCGGTTGAAACTGGGTGTGGAAGAGTTTTAACCGAAACTCCATCCTGCATATATCCCCCTGAAGAAGACCTACTAAGTCGGGTCAAAACATTGGCTTTAAATAAAATAGTTTTTTTACTATTTTTATGACCGTCACCCAAGACCATCTCCTTACTCATCAGTGATTTTATTTTTATTTATAATAGGTAATGTATTTTGAAAAGTTTTTAATAAAAGGTAATTTTAATTGTAGAAATATTAATTAGTATAGTAACAAGTAACTCAACAACTTACAGCAAGGTTAAAACTTCATAAAACCACTCTATTCTTAGACATGACTGGTTGTCTAATATATATTATATATTATAGTATTTTATAATATCTCTAATGTTTATTAAGGACCTAATAAATAAATTATTCCATTGATTTAATTTACGTAGATTAACAAAATTATCTATCTCATAAATGTAAACAAAAATTATTATTTGTACTAAACAGAATATCAATTCACAGTTATAAAACAAATAACTGATAATTGAATATAAATTGATTAAATTATCTGCAAGGTTTCATTAAGGATTTCTTTGTTTTTGTATTCATTTGCCTCCACCCCTAAGGGTTGTTGGTTTATTAAAATAAGTTACAATTGTTATATTCTGCTGTAAAATTTCGTTTTTCTTGAATAATTAAAAAGTTGTTTAGTTTTTTCATCATAATATTGGAAGATTACTTCTACTGTTACTCCCATTTTTAAGTTTTTCCTTAGAATAGAGAATGTGTCTGTGGCCTCATGAGTATCTTGGTACTGAGCTGAGTTGGTAGCAGAATCAGCTCTCTTATTACCAAAGAAACCAAAATGCAAGGCTACCCAAATGAGGACTAGTTCTTTATTTTCTCATGTTAATACACAATATAAATTAAAGATTTATTTTTAATAACAGGTAATAAATAAATAAAGACACTGTTGTGAATAAATGCATTACTTAACACGTTAGCTACAGTTACGGTCCCCGGCATCCGATAGCTTTACATCAGATGTAAGGATTATTTACGTTTGTATTTATCTTTACATCTATACAATCCCAATTCAAATGTTTTCAAAAATGGCCATTTTAGAGACTTTGTAAGATAGGCAAAATTCAAAACAATCCCGGCCAAAATTGAGAATATCGGAAATATAAAATAGACGAATATCGGAACCCAGGAACCATAGCTGCAGCAAACATGTTAATCAAGTAGGTATGAATGTGTTTAAGAACAATTTATATTTTTGAAGTGTATATTTTTACTTGTTATATTATTATTATTTGTTATCATTATCATACTTATTTTTTTATTTAATACATTTGTTATAATTTGTTTCTATTTTGTATGCATGTATTATATGAATAAACACTTGTTGCCCTTTAATGTGGCAGATGGTATTATTATTCAATAAATTAGTATATATAAAAAAAAACTTAATCAATCAATTAATTAAAAACTAAATCCACTAAACAATAGAAGCGAGAACAAAACCTCATCAGGATAATAATAAGCAGGATCATAGGACAATAATAAAAAAATAAATTACATTTCTTGAGTGATTCTGGATTTTTAAATGCATAATATAAAAAAACATATTAATTTGGATATTTTATTAACTTCTCAATGCAAATACAAAAATATTTTATAAATTTAACATAGCTATAAAATTTACTTCAAACCAGACAAATTAAGTTTCAACTGCTTGAAACTAAGTACAATTTTTTGAATCCCACATACTAATAACTAACATAAAAGCCACTGTCAGTTTCTTTGAAGTCACTCTACTGCCATTAGTACGGCTGTTCAATTGATCCAATTTTTCAGAATACTCATTTCTGCCAAGAAACACATCTGCTAAATATTATATTAAATTTTTTACTATTCTATACCCTGCTAACATGTCCCATTTGTAATTTTTATAAATTGTGAATATCTGGTTGCTATGATCTACATAATATAGTTTACCTAAGGAATAAGTATTACCAAAATCGTTTGCAACAAATGATAACATTACAAAATAAATAAATAGTGATGTAAGATTATTTGAGTGTTAAAACTAGCATGACATATTTCGCTGTCATTGGACTGTTTACTAAAATGCCTTTATAGTCGTTTTCCATGTATTACGTCCTCACTTTTTAAAATTATCCTATCAAAATAAGAAAGGAAACTTGAAATAACTAAGAAATAATCATATCTAAATAAGATTTTTTTTATTTAAGAATGGAATGCCAAATGAAAGGATGTTTCTAAAACATTCCAAATATTTGTAATTAAATAAACCTTCAGATTATACGTTTAATAAATACGTTTCAAAAAAAAAAAACTTTGATGACTATTTATACATTTTTTTGTAAGTACTTTAAGAATTTTTTTTTTTTTTACTATAAAAATATTTTTGTTTTCAATATGTACAGTACATCGATATATGTTATATTACTGTTTAGAATTTAAAGTTAATTTCATTTTGAAAATTATTAACTTTTACATTATTTAAGTTATGTAATATTATAAAGTGCACTTATATAATAACGCACCACAGTTTGTTTTGTAGTTTCTGTCCAGCAAATTAAGTTTGAGTTTTAATAATATTTTTTTTTTTTATAAGCCCATGTTAGTTTCATAGGTAAAAAAGTTAAAAGTAAAATTTCTTTTTTGTATTAAACCAAATGAACTCTAATATTAACAGATACATATTTTAGTGAGATCTATATTGAGTTTTTAAGCAACTTTTCTCTGAGGAATCTTCAAATCCTAATCATATTTTAGGATTATATACTAGAAAAATGTATGATAATAAAAAAAGAAACAGGTTAATTTTAAGGAAGATTAGCTAAACTGGTTGCATTTAAAGGTATTTGGTGTGCGAAGGTGTTAGTTTTCAATTATATGTAAGTTTTTTAAATCTAAATTTATTTTTCTGACCACATTTCTGTACAAGATGCGATGAAAATCAAAAGACAAAACCAATTTTATTTACTAATCATAAGTAATATTTAAAATTAAAATAAAATATACTTTAATATGGTAGGACATGGAACGAATCTGAAAATCTAAGTCTCTTCTACCTATTATTAGAGTAATCCTGATAAGTTTATCACAACTTCCAACTACCATCACTATCAAAATTACAATATTTTTTTTTTTTTTAATATGATATAATTGTGTACAGATTATTGATAAATTTCAAATGTTTAATATATTTTGTTCAAACATCTAAATTATAAAATACTTAGTTTCCCCGCAGAATAAATTATCCATTGAATGTTATAACATCCTCAAATTAATTATTTGATATAAATACACTTGGACTTAGATTCGATCCATTCCGATAAGTGAAAAGTACTTAACAAAGGAAATAAATATTGAAAAAGTAACTTAAAACATTTAAGTTTTGAATAACAATTGTAATAAAATTGTCACAGCAATAATTTATTTAATAAAATTAAATCACTTCATGTTAAATAGAGATCACAGATTGAAAATAATATGTGAAACAACTCATAAGAACTTAAAACAATAACAAAAATTATACACAAGATACTGCAATCATATCAACATTACCTGTCAAACTAACCACCAAAAACAGATTAAGTTACGAATTATGAATATAATAACACCAATATCATAGAAAATTCCCTTTCCTGCAGTTACTATTCAGCTTACAAAAACTGTTCAGTTTCTGGGCGAATTTTAATAACTTAAACACAAAACAAATAAAATTTCCATAACAAGCAGTTACCATAACCAGTAACAAACCTAGATTTTTTGGATGGGTCGACAGGCCACTTTTCTAATAACCGCATATACTTTCTGTAAACTTGAGCCATGAAGAAAAATTTATCAAAATACTACATAGTAAAACCATGCTGGGAGGTTTCATTATCTTAGTAGATCCAATTGTATGAATTGGATATTCATTGATACGTTTCTCTTATCAAAATCGTAAATTTACTCGATCAACAATAGGTTATTTAATAAAGTACTGTTACTTACCAGTTACTAATTACATTAAGGTTTTTTAGTTACCATTAGCATAATTTTGCCATCAGCTGCTTGATCTATTTAAACGGCCGCCGTATTTTTACCTTCTCTCCTTTTACTACACAGAGACCCACATTCGCCAGTCAAATTAATGAAGTGCATAGTTCTATTGTAATGGCTGGATTATTCAATTTCCCTGTAAAATTAACTCCTAAGAATTTAATCAGTATAACTCGTCGTTTACATAATCTCCATAATAAAAAGGTAATTTTTAGAATTATATTATATCATTGTGTTTAACACTTATAAATAATTATTTATACATTTAACAGTGTGTATCATTTAGGATATTTTTAATGTTTACTCTAATATTACTATTATTCATACATAGTTTTAATGGTATTAGGTTATCTTTTCTATGATTTAACCAGAACACCACAAGTTACTAGTTTGAATCATTTTTAAAGTTCAAAGCTTCAGAATTAAAGTTCAAAGCTTCAAAATTAATAGATACACATTTGTTGAATTACATATTTTACTTAATACTTTAATATACTAATAAGTTTATAGGTGTATTCCTACTCAGTAAGATTAATATTGTTACTTCTCATTATTTTATTTGTTCAATTTTTTGCTGAGAGTGGAATTAAAGTTCAAAGCTTCAAAATTAATAGATACACATTTGTTGAATTACATATTTTACTTAATACTTTAATATACTAATAAGTTTATAGGTGTATTCCTACTCAGTAAGATTAATATTGTTACTTCTCATTATTTTATTTGTTCAATTTTTTGCTGAGAGTCGCCTAAAACATTGAGTTGTCATTCTGATATATTTTTATGTTTGTATTGTAATAATAGTCGGTCTATCAGTTTTTTTGAATTATCAATTAGAAAGATATGGGCTCATTCCTTAATGACATTTGAAATTAACCTCTTTTTTTATGAAACTATATAATTAACCATGCTAGTATGACTATTTTCCACAAATAATTTTATTTATTCTAACGTTTATAATCATAAATTTTAAATCTCTTTCATATGCCTTATTAAATTATGTAACGGTCCCTTTTTTTAACATTTTTTATTAGAAGATTAAAGTATAAAGAAGGTATAATTAACATTGCCGAGGTATTAATTGTTTTGTTATCTTTTGTTTGCTTGTCAAGTTAATATTTTTAAAACAGGTTAGTTGCAGCCCCTCCCCCTATGTTCTCTGATCTGATTTTTACTACCTTTTGTTTTATATTTATATTTTATTAGTAATAATTATAATGTTTTTACTTATTTTCTCACTTAATTGGTTTTCAATTACTACTTCTCTTTGCTGTCAACCAGTATTATATATTTACACTTTTTATATTACTTTTTGTTTGTTTTTTCGATACCCTATATCCTTTTTTTCTTTGGATTGTATTATCAACAGTCAATATAACAATTATTTTTTATTTAAATTTAAAATTGGTATTCTTATATGATATGTTTTTTATAGTATATCTTGAGTCTTATTTTTAAAAATAAATGTAAACTTTTAAATGTAAAGATTAAAGAACTAAGTATTCAGTGAAGATAGACGATGCAGTATCCATGTATCTCTAAAGTTTTTGGTGTTATATTTAAAAAACAACAATTTTAACTGTCTAGATAAGGGGTTTCCAATCTTACATAAGATTGGACGAGAACTCCCACTATACTTTTCTTTTTCAAAACATCTAAACCCTAGGCTTAAGTACCTGTTCTTGTGCCGTACAATAGTCACAATTAAAAAATTGCACTGTTTAAATTTTTTTTCAGTATTTGCATTTGTATAAAATTAATTAAATTTTTAGTTATTGTTTAATTGTTTTAATAAATATTTCAATAACAATAAATATAAAAAGTCTTGACTACGTAGTATTTTTATAAAATGATTTATCTGAATAAAACAAAGAACTTGGGGGATGTAAAGAGAAAATCAAAATTTATTTGTGCACTGCATTAATTCATTGTCGAAGTCTGAGCTTAGTTGTTATGTCTGTATGCTTTGATCTGAAATATCCATTTTTCAGTTTGATATTTTACAGTGCGACTTTACTTTAACTGTGTCGTAATTAGTTTAAGATTGTGTCAATACGTGTTTGTTGTGTATTTCAATTACAGTTTAAAATTAACAGATTATGATCAATTATTAACAATCCTATCATATTACTACATATAACTTGAACGGCTTTTATTCCTACTCATTTCATAAAAATTAGACTTTACTGTCAATTTTAACTAATTATTCATCACCATTTTTGTTTTATTTTTCTCCTGTCGTAACTTTATTTTAATTTTATTTGGTAATTAATTATCTTAGTGTTTATTAACTATGCCTATAGATACACATTTATTCTATGGAGGAAATAGTTGAAAACTATTGATTTTATTATTAATTAATCAAGATACCAGGAAATTAAACAAAAAAATAATTGAATTTATTTTACTGATATTGATTAGCTCACCTACATTATCACACATCTGACCAAAAGTTACTGAAGTTATTTATATTTTAAAATTTTACAATTATCAGAAATCACTAAATTATTTGTTTTACTAATACAAAAATAAATAAATAATTAAAATAACATCAAATATGAAAATTAAAACCTGCATGGTAAGTAAGAAACAATTCTTCTTTATTAAAGACAAATTGTATTACAAGAAATAGAATTGCCTTATGACCTATCACAAATAAAAAAAGTGAAGCAACTAGAAATTAAGTCATTATTACTACTCATATTGATTCTAATAAACAAATGTCATTAGAATCAGTTTATAATTATTATCCTCAAAGCCATTTATTCTTTAGTTGTTCTTAATATTTTGTTGAATATTCCCCAGAATAACATTCAATTTTAGTTGCTTTGATAGTTTCATCTGCTTATTGTCGATGACTGGACAGAGAAGGCAATGTTGAAATTTCAATTCTCTTCGATATAGATTGAGATTTATGTCCTCAGGATTGTTTACTGGTACATATCAACTGTTTTATTCAAGATGGGCCAATCTGCTTTTTTTGCCCTAGGGCCAGTTTGTTTTTGTTTACATCTCGACAAGAACTTGCTAAAACCAATTTGCAAATTGAACTTTTATTAAAGAATAAATTGATAACTTAAATGACATAATTAATTCAATAACATCAAGTAACATAGAAATTTACGATACTTAGAAACACGTGTGATATGCTGATTGGTCCTTCTTGCTGAGCACTCAGTATAATTGATTCAATAGCTCTAAATACTGTTATAACTTCTACTAAACTCTGAACAATGATCATAAAACACTTGAAATTAAATATTTACAACTTTGAGCACTGTGAAATAAGTTTTAAAATAAGGCAGTGAGAGATTGCCCATTTCTTATAGGCTCAAACTGCCTTTTCTTATTCTAGTCTTGATAACTACTGGCTGATAGCCCCATCACTGCTGCTACCTTATGGATGAAATATTCAACTGTTAGTCATAACATACATCTTATTGACTATTAGAACAAAGAAATCAAATTTGTATGTTTTCTATTATTCTTTATTTGGAATCCAAAACTCCGTTTCTTGACATTTCAATCCACATTAAAATACCAAGATAACATGAATTAGCATGCAAATGAGTATGTATGGTGGGTTGAAATAACAGAACTGCTTAAGGTTACTTTTCTCAACTTACTTACAACATCCATTTTAAGAACATTGTAGCATGGAACATTAAACATTTGTAGATTATTAAATCAATTTCAGGATCAGATATTATAAAAAGAGAATGTATAATGTTTCACACCACAATGTACTGAAGACCATTTCTGGATATAAGCTGAATAGAGCATCACAAAAGTGACCTTAAGAGCTTCTATAATTGTAACCTGATGCTCTTGCTCATTCTGTGTGAATACCTAAGCTTGACTTTATTTGTGACTTTAGATGTATATTTGATATTATTTCCTGACAAACCCAGTTTATTTCATCCAAATTCATTGTAAAATTCAATCATGGAACGTCTTCCTTCCAGTTAAGATCTGTTAATTATATTAGTGTTAAATTAATAATGATTTTGTGTTAATAGTGTTTCTTATTTAATAGTTAATTTTTCTAGCCTTGTTCAAATTTATATCTTGTGTGACTAAAAAAAAAAAAGTATGAATGTATTTCTTTCTTTTTCAATTTGTGTTTTAAGCCTATCTATTAAATTTATCACATAAATTAACATTTTCAAAATTTGTATGATTTAATTATTAATGATTGTTTTTATATTTTATTTGATGTTTGTTAAGTAGATTTGTTCTAACATTTCTTCATTTTTTTTCTTATGTGTTTAATTTATATCTATTGCTATCTAGTTTGTAATTATGTGAAGTTGGGCTCATAAGATAAATGTATTTCAGATATTAGCGGCAATCCAACCCCATTCAGACGTAGGTAAGATTGAAAATTAATATTTCTTGTATTGATTGTTTTTTTTTTTATGTGTATTAATGCATGCAATAAGCCCCTTTCTTTATATGTGTTTGTGGAAATAATATTTTATTTTTACATTTGTGTGTTAATCATTATTTTTTTAAGCAATTAAAATACTGACAATTAATAATAATTATCAAACGCTAATTAAAAATATAATAAATCTGTACAATATCTTACTTTCCTATAGTCTTAACAATACTGTCATTAAATTATCTGAGAGACATGCATTAATTATTTTATTTTAAAAAATTGTATGATTTAATAATTATTTATATGTATCCTTTCTGTTGACCTTTAATGGTATATTACTGCAACAGTAGAGGACTCTTCCAATTAAATGGTTGGTGAAGGTAGAACCAAGACAGTTTGACTTTAAAAGTATCTATTGGTGTTTTAGAGAACATATCTTTTCTTGCTTTTAGGTGGCTTATCCCTTCAGTTTATACAGCTTGAGTGGGACCAGATCCTTCACCTATAAACTTTTTTCAATTTACTATAAATTATCCTTTGCCCATAGAACATGTTACCAGCACTGATGATGACACCTACAAGCTTTGGTTGGAACGTTGGCAACAATAAAAATCTTTAAAACTTACTGCATCCTGACTATTAATCACCCATAATTTTTTTTTTTTTTTACTATATATATGTATCTTTCAAATCATGTGAATCTTTATCTAATTCAGTTTTACTCTTGTTAAGTCACATTTACAGGTGATGGCGAACAGAGTATGTAAATAGGATATTTGGTTTGATTTGTGCATGATAGCCTATGTTTGTGGCAGATCTGGTCTTCTGTGTGTTTTAAAGCATAAATCAAAGGAAGCTCTTGGATATTTCAGCATAAGTGCATAAGTGTTACTTTGAAACTGTTCCTGATATTCCTATTTCTGCTCTGTTTTAAAAATATATTGTTCATTTTTAAAGTAAAATTAGTTAAAATCAAATGTAATGTATCTTTACAATATATGTATCTTGTCAATATATATATCAATATATATATCTTTACAATGTATCTTTACAATTATTGTGCAATGACCCTCACAAGTCTGATGTCAACCTAATTATTTGTTCTGCTTATTTTTACCAAGCATTTGTAGATATTCAAGTGTTAGTATTGGTGATGTTTGCAAACATATATATTATAAGTCGTTTTGCTTGGTGGATAACTAATTTATTGCTTAGTCCATTACTTAGGCAGTTGTCAAGGTTCATACATAATGTTCTATGTTTTCTTTGTTCTTCTTACAATCTTGATATTTTTATTCACTAGGGAATTAATTTTCATTTGGTTTGGTTTAAATAAGTAAAAATCTAGGGACATCAAGTTCCTTGGTTTATCAATTAATGAGGAAGGTTTGTATACAATTTTTACATACTTTATAAATTTAATGCTGATTTGGTAATAGTTTCTTCATCATGAAGTTCTGAAATATCTATTTAAATATGAGGTGCATATAGAGCACTCCTCGAAACTTTGGCTATTCATGAGTGTACCATTACAGTGTTGTTTAGTAATCATGTATGTGTTTGTAATAGTTGTGATTTATGGAGGATGATCCTTTCTGTTAATGTAATTTACGGGGATGGTTATCGACTTGAGCCTTGTTTCTTATCGCATGTTACCAATTATGCTCAGAGGTTGAATAGAAACTTTATTTGACCAAATTGGTACTACGGGGCGGCACCTTGGGTGGATATCGGGAGTGTTTGTCACTTCACGATACCAGTGTTGTGCTACTCGTGACTTTAGTCTGGCCAGCCATCTGGTTTCAGTGTGCTGATGAATGGTTGAAAGCTAGTATGGATAGTATTAGTCTGTTCCGTGAGTTATTTGCACTAGATTTGTCGTTGGAGGGTGAAATGAGGTTAAAGGCCAGTTAAGACCTTCAGCTCTCTTCCAATACTCGTACTTCACATGCATCATATACACTTGTTAATGTGATTTGTTGAGTTTGGTGAACTTTTAATAATTTCCTATTTACTCGCTGGGCTCTTGCTCATTTTAATGGCTTCACTATTCAGTATTGTTCGATCAATTGTTCTCTTGTGATTTATTGATAATCTGGTTTATTATAGGTTTGTAAGCTTTTAATCTCTCCATTATTTTATTTATTTATTTTTACATTGATCAGTTTTTTAGTTGCCATAACAGATATTCATCTTTAATACTAATGTTTTTATTAAATATCTAAAATTATTTAAAAGTAATTTTTTTTTTTAAATGTTGGCTCAAGGCACGTCGACCCCTATTGGGTCCATTGTGCGCTAAATTAATTCATTACTTGTTCGTACTTTTTAGAACATAAATAATCATTTTCATATTTTTGTAATATTTAAATTACAGTGCAATCGCAGTAATCTGGACTAATTGCTATGGTGGGGTGTTATGGTTGCCGAAAAATTCGGATCACATAGAGTTTTCAGGATAACTATTTACAGTAAAAGATTAAAACTCAATAAATTAACACATATAACTTTACTAACTGCATATCCATTATGAAGTATTTATATTTTTAATTATGGAATATTCTTATATTTTGTTTCTAATTTCAATATCAACTTTGTTTTAGGAATTGTATATGATAGAAGATCTGTAATAAATACAGCTAGGACTAATGGGTAAGAAAAAATAAATTGAAAACTAACAATGTTCAGTGTACAGTAATGATGTTGTAGTTAGAAATTTAATCTACTATTGCAGTTTTAAAAAATATAGGTATGAAACAGGCATATTTCATGTCTCTATTAAAACTTTTTTTTTCATTGCATTTATATAAAAAAATATTAAGTAGATGAAAATTTATTTCACAAAGCTCCTCACAACTTTTATTAGCAATGTTTTTTCCCAAAAAAAGTTTCAAGCCCTGAAAAAAATAAATGAATAAAAGTAATACAAATGGCATATTCAAGATTATGTTTAAAGTCAGGGACGGAAGGGTTTTAAATGGTCATTTAATAGACCGCAGATAACTAAGATATTTTATGGCAGGGGTCTCCAAACTACGGCCCTTGCGCCGGATTCAGTTTGCGAAATTCTTTGATTACATGGCAAAATCTTAAAAATTTAGTAAACCACTAAACATTAGATTACTACAACATTAATTGCATGAGTTTTCTCTCTTAGAAAACTCATATTACAACTGAAATGTCGTTTATAGAACAAACGTTGTTTTTTTTTCACTGCAATTCATGGCCCACAGGCCAAAAAATTTGGAACCCCTGTTTTATGCTATTCTTATGGCCAGAAACCAAAGTGTTGTCCATCATCTGTTTATAGCCTGTATTATTCCAAACCATTGCTCTTCCACCAACTACTTGTCACTTAGAGAATGTCTTTTGTTTTTCCACGAGTCAAAATAGCAAATAGCAAAACCAAACACATTCATGCAGGCAAACTGTTTCCTGTGCTCCTCGTGAGTTTTTGGATGGGTTTTAATTATTTTTCCTTTATACGAGGTGAGGCTATTAACAAATGAGACTGATGCTGTAAAACATTTTATACTTATTTTTACTTTCACTTACCTTTATAGGAAAGGAAATTATTGCGATCAGGAACATTTTTTTATCTCAGTTTTCAATGGAAATACACGTTTTGTCCAAATAACCCAGTCCCACAAAATGGTCTGTGTGTGTGTGTGTGTCAGCAGTCTAGCTCAAAAACGAAAATGAAATTGCATATTTGAGGCTTTTATATGCCTGAGATGTTATAGCAACTTTTTCGTCAAAATCGGCTAACTGGAAGTGGCACTTTATATCATCGATGTAACACTTTTTTACAATTTTCTCAAAAACTGCTCTAACAATTTTGATTAAATTCATGATATTAGTGTAAAATTAAGCTGTTTTTTATATAATGTAGATTTTATTCTCATTGATGTTCTCTATCAGGGCTTAAATGGCTAATTTTCAATATTAGCTTCCCTTAAATTAAAGTGCCTTTAATTTTTTTTATTTGAAACAATTAACCATTTCACATTGATCTCTGTAATATAAAATAGTAAATATAAAATATGAAAGAAATGGTAATTAACTAAAGGAGAAACAAGAGGTCGTAACGGAGAATAGCAGCCGAACTCTCCGAAGATTAGAACAGGCTTCCATACGATACGTATCATTAGCATAATATTATACTGACTCCGACAAATTATGTACATACACATATGCTGTTTTCATAAATGTTATCATTGTTATTATTTAATATTTAATTGTATAGATTACAAAATATAAATATTAAAATTTGTATACCTAGTTCTGTCATAAAGATTGTTACAAGGAAATATATACAGATTTCAACAGAAAAATTAATTTTTTCAAAAACTTTATTAGGAAATGAAATGTATATCTATAGAGAATAAAACAAAAAATAAATTACTCAAAATGTCACCCTTTTGCCTTGGCACAGGCATTTAATCTCTGTGGCTAGTCATCAATAGCAGCACGCAGCACTTCTTGAGGAAAGCGCTCAACTGCTTGGACCAGAGATTGTTGGAGGCTTTCCAAGTTAGGTTGTGTTCTGTGGCATGTCATCCTCTCCAGTTCGGACCAAAGCCAATAATCTAGTGGGTTGAGATCAGGACTTCCTGAGCGCCAATCTCCCAATGACTTGAAAGATGTGTGGTACATGCACCGCACCAACTTTTTTTATTTTGTTATCCATTTTTTACTAAAAACGGTGACCCAGGCGTGAATCATCTATAATGTTTTCTTGGCCACCTTAAAAATCCTTGAACCATTCAAAAACACATGCATGCAATAAACATTCATTGTCATACAGTTCATGTGTGGCACGACATCCCGTTACCGAGACTGGGCCTCCTCCAAGAGCCTCCGCCAGTTGGCTCTGTCTTCTGCTGCAGCTCTCCAGTTCCGTACACCAAGCAGGGTTCTCGCATCATAGGCCATGTTGTCCAACCACCTCGTCCTCGGCCTTCCTACCCGTCTTGCGAGGTGCAGCTCCTCCATCATTATTTTCTTGGGTATCTCAACGGTGCTCATTCTGGCCACATGCCCTGCCCATCTTAGTCTGGCCAGTTTAATATAGGTGACTACGTCGATGTCTGCATAGAGAGAACTGAGCTCCCTATTTTTTCTTTTCCTCCAGACATCACCCTCCTTTACTGGACCATAAATCCTTCTGAGGACTCCACGCTCAAACACACTCAGTTTCATCTCATCGTTTTTGGTCATCGTCCAAGCCTCTGAGCCATATGTCAAAACAGGCCGAACAAGAGTCTTGTATATGATCAGCTTGGTCTTCTTTGAGAGGTACCTACTTCTTAAGTGTCGGCCAAGTCCATAGACACATCTATTGGCAGCCGTGATCCTTCTTTGTATTTCTTGAGCCATGTCATTTTTGCTATTAATTTCAGACCCAAGGTATATAAAACTTTTCACTCTCTCAAACTTAAAAGAACCTACCTCAAATGGAGTGTTCAGATCCACCTCACCACCAACTCTCATATACTTCGTTTTCCTCTCGTTGACTTCTAGACCAAGTGGTCTTGCAGCTGCTTCAAGGCCTATAAACGCTTCTCTGAGAGCCTGTTCAGACCTACCTATTACGTCAATATCATCAGCAAAACCAAGAAGCTGTGTCAGGCGATTGAAGATTATATCGTTGGTCTGAATACCGGAGTCTCTTACAGCTTTCTCCTCTGCCAAGTTGAACAATAGACAGGCGAGGGCATCCCCTTGCCTAACCCCACTGCTCACTTTAAACTCTTCGGAGTCGTCAGAACCGACGCGTATTCTACATCTCGAGCTGTCCATGGTCATCTTGATTAGGCGTACGAGCTTCTGAGGGATGCTTAGCTCCTCCAAGGCACAGTATAGTTGTGTTCTATCAACGCTGTCGTATGCTGCTTTAAAGTCTAGGAATAAATGGTGGGTGACTACCTTACGCTCCATAGTCTTTTCTAGGATCATCCTCAGAGAGAACAGTTGATCAGTGGTTGAGCGTCCTCTTCGAAATCCAGCCTGATATTTCCCCAGTTCCTTTTCAGAATACGGGAGAATCCTCTCAAAAAGAATGTTAGAGAGCAGTTTATAAGCACACGAAAGGAGTGAGATTCCTCGATAATTAGCGCATTCTGTTTGATCTCCTTTCTTATGTATTGGGCAGATAATGGCTGTTGCCCATTCCGTAGGCATAGCTTCCCTCTCCCAGATGGTCTGCATTAAATCATGCAGAGCTTTCTTGTCATTGTCATACAGTTCTCTCTATAAATTGTATAAGTTTCAGTAGGGAGTTTTTCCGGCAAAACATAAACAACTCTAATTCAAACGTATGCTACAGCTATAGGGATTTGTTTACGGAAGTGAAAGATAGTGCATTTGAAAGAAAAGGCTTCACGCTTAGCAGCTGTCTTTTTGCTTTATAGCCGCACCTCGTATTTTATGCTTATTTTAGGATTATATTAAATCTGCTGTAGCTGATTTTAGGATTATATTTAATACATAGGATTTGCTTATTTTAGCTTCATAATTAATTTGTCGATTCATCTCTGTGCTTTTTGAAGCTAAACACCATATATATTTTTTCTGCTTCTGAGTTGATGTAATGGTATGCTAAATATTCTTTTTTACACTACTGATTCTTAAGGAACTTTGACATTATTCCTCCCTGTGCTTCTCGTAATTTCAGAAATGGTTATTTCTTTTTTATGCAAACAATTAATGACTCTTTGTTTTTTGTTTTTTTTAAACAAGGTTAACATTATATCATAATCATTGAAGTTCAATATAATCTTTAGATTTTGAATGATGTCATTTTAATGATATAATAAAGTGAAGGTACTTATGATGGTCACCTTTGGTTTTACAAGTTTGCTATGTTCTTCAACCCTGCTCTGCTACCTTGTTGATTTTATAGTTTTCAAAAATGAATACTCTTTTATACTTTAATTTATAATTTTAATATGCACATTAACACATACACTTAAAATTTTGTTCATATAATTTTTTGTTTGTTCGAATCAAAGTTTTGTACTTTTAAGTATTAAAAAAAATACTGAATAAAAAGGCATTACTTGAATTTTTATTGTGAAAATACACTTCCAAAAAATTTTAACTTTATCAACTTTTAAAATGTTATTATAAGAATTGTTTGTTGTTTGTTTATTGACAAAAATAAAACTTTAATAATTAAAAGTATAACTAGAAGTAGAATTTGGAATAAACCAGTTTCTATTATGAAATTTAAGGAAACATTCATCCATTATTACATGTTATTGTTATTTTTTCCAGAGCATTTACACCATTCTTCAATGTTCAAAAAAGAGAATTCAGGACTTCACTTACACTTCGTAAGTTATTATTGAGTTATCTATTATCAAATTATACTTTGACTATTTATTTGATTCTATAATTATTAAATTAATTTATGAAATAGTAATATCTAAGAAATATTATTTTTTACAGTTTATTTCATGTTTAATAGTCTATTTTTTGTATTATGGATGTAGATGAAGATAAGATCGTTATTGTTCCTCCATTCCCAGAATCAGTGGCAGAAGGTGATTTAAAGTGGGAAAAAAGTATGTATATCAATTCACTATTTCAAGGATTATTTTTCCTTATAATATATTGCTTGTTTTTAATATATTTTTCTTTTTGTAAAGATGTTGGAGACAGTGTTTCCACTGATGAAGTAGTTTGTGAAATAGAAACAGACAAGGTTAGATAATTTAGAACAAAAATATATCATTATTTTATAATGAATTCTGAAGATGAAAAATTATTTCTAATTTATGGTTTTTCAGACTTCTATTCCCGTTCCTTCACCAGGCAATGGGGTGATTGTTGAAAGATATGTAGAAGATAATTCAACAGTAAAGGCTGGACAAAAGTTATTTAAAGTACAATTAGGTATTATATTACATTATAACTTCATATAACAACATAAACAATGTTGATTGTAAATTTAACCTAGAAAATGGTGGTTTGGGGTTTGGTTAAAGAATATAATCTTTCCTCGAATACTGAGAGATCTTTTATGACTTAATCTCTAGCTATTGTTTTGAAGAAGATACAAATGTTGGCAAAGGAAGTAGTTCTATTGGTTCCTATCTTTATCTCGAGTAACTAAACAAATTTACAAAAACATTCCTTGTATCTATGTTATTTTATTTTTTAAATTTCATCTTCTATTGTAACTCTACATAACAGCTACACTAGGTTGTTGCAAAAGTCTTTTTGCCTTAAAAATGTTGTATTTATATTTCACTATAGAATCCATGCATGAAGCATTAAAGATCCAACACGTTATTTCTCAGCATTTTTCTTTAACCAAGTGTAAATTGTGGGCAAGTGTGTTTTCTCACAGAAATATTGCTTTGGTCAAGACAAAGCAATATTTCAGAATGAGAAAATGTATAAAATAATATATAAAAGTATTTTCTTTTCTTTAAAAATTAATATTTTTATCTAGACATTCTGAGTATTTTTTATTCTTCTAGGTGGAGGTGGTGCCCCATCTCCCAAGCCTACAGCTAAGCCTGCAGCTGAAAAAGCAGCCCCACCCCCTCAACCTTCAGCAGGTGCACCTGCTGCAGCCCCTCCACCACCTACTAAAGCAGCTCCTCCATCTGCTCCACCAACTGCACCACCACCCATTAGGCCACCCATGCCTGTTGCTGCTATAAAGCATGCCCAAGCAGTTGAAGCTGCAGTTGTTAAAGTTCCTCCAGAAGATCCTACACATGAAATTTCAGGTACCAGGAGCGAATATAGAGTGAAAATGAATAGAATGAGGCAAAGAATAGCACAGCGCTTGAAAGAAGCTCAGAATGTAAATGCTATGCTTACAACATTTAATGAAATAGATATGAGGCAAGTATTGTTTTGATATTGTACAATTATCTAAAAAATCTGTTTGTTAAATTGTGTGAATCCCAAAAATTGTTTTGTTTGTTTATGTTAGCTTACGCATTTACTAGCTGCTTCTAGATTTAAATATATTAGAAACAGAACAATATTTTAAAATAGAATAGTTTTATTTATGTTATGAAAAATTGTATAATTGGAGAGTTCCCTAAAGTTTATGATACCTTTACCTAAACTCATTGATGATAGTTACATGAGGGAAAATAGAAAACTTCCTTGTCACTGCTATGTAACAGCCTGATTGGTATTGATTCCTTATCTTTTATCTCAGATTTTTCTTTTTTTTTTTTTTTTTTCAACTGCCATTTGATTTCTGATGACAAAGATCTTTAGAACATATTCTGTTAAATATGTTCAGTATATGATTTATGTTTAAATCATATACTGATAACATTTCGAGCCTATTCTAGCTTTGGACCTCTATGACATCTGGTTCTGAAGCTGAATTCCAATCAGTTAATTAAATATCTATGTTACAGGGTTGTCTTTCAATTAGTAGGAATATATCAGAAAGTGAAATTTTAAATATTCATTACGTATTTTAAATGTTCACTCTGTTACCTAGTAATAATCATTGTCTAATAATACTGCCATTAATATTTTTACTTAATGAACAGATTTTTTAATTATAAAAGTATATTGCTTATTAATTGATTATTGCATCATTTCTCTTAGTGCTATAATGGAGTTCCGAAAAATACATCAAGAGGCTTTTACAAAGAAGCATGGTATTAAATTAGGTTTTATGTCTGCATTCGTAAAAGCTGCAGCATATGCCCTTCAAGATCAGCCTGTAGTTAATGCAGTTATCGAGGAAAATGAAATTGTTTATAGAGATTATATTGATATTTCTGTTGCTGTTGCAACTCCTAAGGTATTCTTTGTTTTAAAAAAATAACCTATCAAATGTTTCTCTAATATCTTTGCAAGTTTTATTAATGGTTTCAATTTATTATATTTGGTTATATTTAGGGTTTAGTGGTACCTGTTGTAAGAAATGTTGGATCTATGAATTACGCTGATATTGAAAAGGCTATTTTTGCTCTTGGTGAAAAAGCAAGAACAGGGAAATTAGCTGTTGAGGACATGGATGGAGGTACATTTACTATCAGCAATGGAGGAGTTTTTGGTTCTTTAATGGGAACACCAATCATAAATCCTCCTCAGTCTGCTATTTTAGGAATGCATGGTACATTTGAAAGACCCGTCGCAATTAAAGGACAGGTATTGGCTTTATTTATATAATATTAGAACCATTATGTTGATTTTCTTTTTTTAATAATGTGTTTAATCAATTCCAGGTTGTAATTAAACCAATGATGTACATAGCACTTACTTATGATCATCGATTGATTGATGGTCGTGAAGCCGTATTATTCCTTCGTAAGATAAAGGCTGCAGTTGAAGATCCACGAATAATCGTTGCTGGAATATAAGCAAAGAACATTCACTGAACCCTAGAATCATAGTATTCGTTAAAATTATTATTTATTTTTAAGTAAACCATATTAACTTTCCAACTTCTAATGTACATATTGACATTACAAAGCCCTGTGACACTTCTTTTCATGTATTTATTTGTTATTAAATTTGTACATAAATTGTTTAATGTATAAATTCCCATATTATTTTCAGTTAAAATTGATTTACGCTTCTTATATAGTCAAATAATTTTTCATTCCGAAAAATTGTATGAATATTAAAATACGAGAATTTTGTTACCATTTTGTGTATACATTATTTATTGAACCTTGTTCCATAGATCATTACTTTATTTCATTTAAATTATTTACTTGTAAAATAAAAAAAAATTGTAAAACCTGTTACGAAACATTAAATTTTTTTAGTTAGCCATAATTTTAAAAAGTTGTATGTAATATATACATAAAATTAAATGAATGCAAATTTGTAATTGTTTAGCACAATTCAAATAAATCATTTGATTATCATTAATTTTCATTATTTTCAACAGCTTTAGGGTGGTTGATACTTTTATTTTTTACTATTTAAGTACGCCTGCAAATCATTTTTCTTACATTTCTATTAATTTTTAAATTTGTTTTGTAGTCTTTATATTAATTTTGAAGTATTCGATGAATGTCTAAAATAATAATAAAGACATTCTCCTATTTTTTCTTGTAGTTAAGTGATATAAAACATATTTTTGATTAAAAACTATGCTTCAAATATTGTAATTTCATCTGTTTAAGTGTTTTTCATTATTTTTTAATCGTTGGGTCTTCATTTTCTAGAATTTCATCAAATTTTATTGTTACTGAAATAATTAATCCATGTGATGTGAACAGAGGGATATAATGACATAAAAAGACTTGTAGAAAAACTACCCGCAAGTAGCACTAAGGGGTTTTTAAAATTGAATGTCATCCATTAATAATTTTCCTTTGTATTCACAGTTTTATTATCAATCATGTCCATTATAATTCACCAAATTTTAAAAAGAAGTCATTAATTTTTGAAGTTATCCATTCTTCATATTAAATATTTTTAATTGAATAACAGAATAATATAAGCATGGATTGATTTTTAAAATTAAAACTCAAACAATTTCCACAACCATTCACCTCAGTCAAAATCTGTTTCACAGTATTTATTTCATTGTACAACGTCATTTTGGGATGTGAGAAGGAATTGGTAGAGATGATATTTAAATGAGGACAAGGAGGCATGGCGGATATCAGATGACAAGGAATTCCAGAAGTTAGTGGATCAGGCAATAAAGAAATATATGTATATATATTCAAAATAGGTATTTGTATTCAGGAGAAGTAAAAGTAAAAAATATAGATGTACATCATATTCCCACCTGTCAGATCTACAAAAAGATTTGCCTTTTTTATTGGTTTTTATTTATTTCTATAACTGTATATTTTATGTAATTATAATGGTACCATGATTTATTTATTTAACATTTACTTTTAAGTCTTTATGATTTTACATCTATTTGATGAGTCTGGTGAAAATTCTTTACAAATGTGCCTAGGAAGGGGTTTCATGGCGTAAGTTGCGCCATCAAAATTTTTGAGGGAGACATTTCGGCGGTGTTATTACAATTCTAAATGAAAAATTTCAATAGATAGAAGCATAGAACAGAACTCTGAAAGAGAATTCACCTTAACTGACGATGTACTCTGCTGCATTTTGAAAACTAGCGCGTCAAAGTCATCATACTAGGCCAGTCAGAAGATAGTTGCATGAGGAAAAAATTTAAATAGTCGGCTTCTCTTTGGCATTTTATATCTTTTGGGATCCTGAATCTAAATTTGATGTTCCCGAACAAAATTTTCAATTGCGTTCCGAGATATACCAGAATTTTCGGCGAAATTTCTGAATTTTTTTTTTGTTTGGACATGACTCCGAAACGATGCATTTTATCAAAATTATTATTATATACAAAGTTAATGAAGATAAAATTTATTGTAAATTTTACACATAGCTTTTTGATGTAGGTCCAACGGGTGAGGAGTTACAGAATATTGACTATGCTTATTTTAGATGAAATATATGTTTTTCCCCAAAAACTCAAAATCTATGCATCCCTCGAAGAAATTCAATATGATTAATTTGAAATAGCATTTAATTTCCTATGTACATGATGTAAACACGTTAATATGTGAGAGGGTTAAGCGACATGGAATCGAAGGCGTATTTCAATCGTAAATCTGTCGCTCTCAACTTAAGTGATTTTATCTTCTCAATGCTTTTGATTCGGTTAATTTAACTATATTTATAACAGAACCAGAATGCATAAACAAATTACATAGCTTTTATATATTCTGTTGGCATGAGATACTTCAACATCCATAACGAGTGAAATACTCCTTCATTCCTTGCGCTTTAACAGCCGCTTAATCCTTTCAAATATTAACGTGTTTACCTTTCTTCTATGTGTCAGTCTTCCTACCTCTTCTCTTTCCTTTCGTAGCCCCTTGCCGAACCGCTGTGGTTCACTACTCCATCCTTATGAAAATTCAGGAAAGGTCTTAATTTTCTTGCTTACCAGCCAATTGAATTCAAAACTCTGCTTGAGTATCAACGCTTCAGTAAGGCCGGAATCTCTATAACATATGGTCGATTTCGTCACTATTGCTAGAGATCGCAGCAGTGTTGCTTGGCTTCAATTAATTCAAATGGGAAGTTTGCTATGTTCCCTTAACAGTAACCATATAAAAAATGAAAATATGAAAAATCTTCATGATGTGCAGTCAAAACATTTTGTTTATTGCTCTCGTAGTTCTTGTCCGGCCTTCAAACAATTGGTCCCAAACATGTCAGTTGGTCACAGAGAGACTGTGCTGTACCGCCAATCGGGCACATAGTGAGGTTTTTTCCTTCATAGAGTGGCTAATAAGATGCTAGTGTTGCAGACAAGGAGGCATTCTACTCGGATTTGCAAAAAATATTGGATAAAACTAAAGGAAAAGGAAGGTCAGTAATCCTGAGTGGGGACTTCAATGCCAGAACAGGAAATGATGAAAGATCTGGATATGGAGTTTTGGGGCTGCATGGAGGTGAGAATGTGAGGAATACTAATGGACAACGGCTAATAGACTTTTGCGTGCATAATGACTTCCTCATAGGAAATTCTTTCTATCCACACAAGAGAATCCACAAAATCACTTTCTCATGCATGGAATGAAATAGTATAATTGACTATTTCATATATGATAGGAACATAAGGCAGTATTTCGCTGACATAAAAGTAGTAAGAGGAGCGGAGATAAGCAGCGACCACCTTTTACTTGTGGCTGATACAAAGATCATCCCGGAGTATAAAAGGAAAACAAAAGTATTCGAAACCCTCAACGTAAGAGCCTTGGATGACCCAGAGAAAAGAGCCCTCTTTACAGAAAGCCTGGAAAATAAATTAAGGGAAACGTCATTCGATGGAGATGTGGAAGAGATATGGAAGGCACTGAAAATATGTATTCTGGAAACAGCAAATACAGTTTGTGGAAAGAAGAGAGTGTCTGGCAAGGGAAAGCGGACAGACTGGTGGACCAATGATCTCCAACGACTGGTTTCTCGGAAGAAGCTTGCCTGGAAAGCATACCTTATGGATAGAACTGAAGGAAAGCTACACTTATATCGAATAGCCAGGAATGAATGTAAGGTAGCCATACGCCAGGCGAAGAAGAAGTCGTGGGAGGAGTTTGGTAAAAGGCTGAGCGAGGATCATCGCGAATCTATAAGAACATTTTGGCGAAAAGTTAAGATGTTAAGAGGAAAACAATGCAAGCCTATTAGAAATGTAAAAGGTAGCGATGGAATCCTACTTACAGACAAGGAAAAGATCCTTGGCAGATGGAAGGAATATTTCCAGGAACAATTCTCCGAAAATCCAGAAACAGACCATTATCAAGAACAAGAGCCCAATATTCAAGAAAGCCTGGAGGTTATAGAGGAAGAAGAAATAGAAAATGCAATCCATAAGCTAAAAAGAGGTAAGGCATCAGGAAGGGATGGAATCGCACCAGAATATTTAAAATTCGGTGGTCAAGAACTTCTTAAAGCACTACAATCGCTGTTCCAAGAAGTATATGACAGAAAGAAAATTCCCATGGACTGGGAATATTGCATAATCCTCCCGATTTATAAAAAAGGATGCACGACAGATTGCAAAAATTATAGACCCATTAGTCTGCTATCAGTGGTCTATAAACTTTATACTTCTATACTATAAAGAAGACTCCGACGGATTGTGGAAGGACAGTTAGAAGCGGAACAGGCTGGTTTTCGTCCAGGCCGACAGACGCAGGATCACATCTTTGTTCTCAGAAATATTGCTGAAAAAGCTTGGGACAGAGATAAAAATCTGTATCTTGCGTTCCTTGATCTGAAGTCAGCGTTTGATGTGGTTCCAAGAAAAGAAATTTGGAATGCCCTAATAGCCAAGGGTGTACCTGGAGACTTGCTGGCGGCCAGTACAGTCAGCCTATCAAGGAGCCATGGCAGTTGTAAGGATGAACTGTATGGAATTGGAACCTTTTCCAATTGCGAGAGGAGTTAGACAGGGAGATAGCTTAAGTCCCCTTCTATTTATAAATGTAATGGATGAAATCCACAAAATCTGTAAACGCCGAACTGCGTGGACAACAATTGGGAAGTGGAATTTGAGAACTGTCCTTATACAAAGCCTTCTATACGCGGATGACATAGTCCTAATAGCCGACACGAAGACCAAACTACAACAAGCTTTGGTAGAGTGGGAAGAAGAGTTGCTCAGGAAAGGGATGCAAATTAACACCTCCAAAAGTAAAGTGCTGGTTATGGCGAGGGAAGAGCGAGAAGATGTCCAGCTGATCTGCAATGGCGAGACACTTGAGGTGGTGACTGAATATACCTACCTGGGGACCGTAATTAGTAGTTCTGGTAAGATAGACGCCGAAATATCAAGTAGAATATGTAAGGCGAATCAGGTATATTACCAGACTACTAATAGCATTATCGGCCATCGCGAAGTAGACAAGAAGACCAAAATGCACGTATATAAGTCTGTTTACCTACCTACACTCACCTACGGCGGAGAAAGCTGGACAATGCTAGACAGGCACTCTAGTCGCATAACGGCAGCAGAAATGAGGTTCCTTCGCAGATCTGTTGGCAGAACTAGAAGGGATCGCATTAGGAATGAAAGCATTAGAGAGCAGCTAGGAGTTGCCGAACTTAAAACTACTCTAGAAAGACGGCAACTCCAGTGGTTTGGACACGTCTGCCGCATGAATGAGAATTTGAATCCTATAAGGATATTAGAGGCTCGACCCACAGGAAGGAGACCACGCGGACGCCCCAGACTCACGTTCCAGGATTACATTCAAAGGATTGGATGTAAAAGAGGCAAAACCCTTAATGAGATGAAGCGACTAAGCACGGACCGGGAAGAGTGGTTGCACTGGTTGAGGCTCCTCGACGCTAATTAATGGCATAAGAGGAAGACAAAGAAGAAGAAGAAGAGTGGCTAATAACTGATTTTATTCTCCCAAAAACCATGGCAGGCAGGCTTTCGCCAAAAAGTAGCATGTTCGGTGCAGCATGATTGCCCAACAGAGCCGACGCAAGTTATCCTAATTCAATTGTTACTTATAAGAACATCATATTATTGAGTTTATTTGTATAAACATTAAAAAGCACATGCGCTTGTTTCAAATATTAACGGAGATATCGAATTTGGAAAAAGGAATCCAATAGATTTGACTTGGTCTTTGTAGGTCATTTTATGCTCGTTGTATTAGCCCTATTCAGCTGTGGAACTATCGTTACTGAGTAATTTGTTTATGTGGGCGGAGGTTTCGGAATTAAAATTTTCGAATTCCATCAATAGTCCAAAATGGTAAAAGTAATCAGTCAAGAAGTGTTTAATGAAACTGTTATTGAAAATAAGGAATTGCTCGAATTAAATGTTGAGGAAGCTATTTTAGAAACCGTACAGCAGTTTAAGGCTCAGGCAAGTTTAACGGAATACTTGAAATAAATCATATCCATACAAAATACATATATTTAAAAAAAGTTATTTAGGTAAATCAAATTACTTGTGTTACTTTGATGAAAATTACTCTTTTCTTACTTAACCAGCACAACTCAGCCTCCTGCAGCTTGAACCACATCTATCTTTTCTTTGTGACTGTTTTCCAGTTTCTGAGACCAAAGATGTTTTTGGCATACTCTTTAATACATCCTATCCATCCTAATCTTGGTCTTCCAGTTCTGGTTGTGTAGAGCTTTTCTTCTTGGAACTTTCGAGGAATATCTTCTGGGTTCATTATACAAACTTGTCCTGCCCACCAAAGTCTCGTTGCTCTGAGGATTCGTCTTTCTGATTGCATTAGCATCTATTCATGGCTTTGGGCGAGAGTTCAGACACATATGTTACTACCCATCTGATGAGGGTTTTATATAGAGGCAATTCTGTAGCCCGGGAAATTGTTTTGCTGTTTAGGTGCTTCTGCAAACAATAATAACACCTAATAGCTGCCATCACTCTTCTATTAATTTAATGCTGCACGATGTTGTTTGCATTAATCTGGAAACTAAGGTATGTAAATTCAGTCACTCTCTCAAAAGTTAATCCCCCAATTTTAACTTCGACTGGCTGCTAATCTTTGCATGTTAGGTCTGTCCTCATATATTTAGTTTTTTTTTCTATACATTCTGAGTCCAACTCTCTACTCAGCAAACCTAATAATTTGTGTTGTCTAGTGAATAAATTATTCTTTACATTTTTTTTTCCATTTAAAATGTTTTTTATTAACATTAAATTATTTTTAACCACGCCTCATTCTTTGTAATGTCAATTCTGGAATCCTCTTTTCATATATAAGGTACCTCGAACAACTGAAGATTCTAGAAAAAACTTGTAGTAATCCTCTTTAAAACATTTTCTTTCTTTCATAGAATCTGATGAATTAGTTATATAGTGGAGTTATTAGATCTTTTACCAGTTGTTGACTGGTCTGTAATCACAGAAATTCGAAGAGGAGATATATTCAGTATAACAGGTCTTAAAAATGGACAATCCACGACTCTCTCCTTAAAAAAAGTTGCTAGTGATATGAATTAATTATAAAGCAAAAATAGGTTTTCCTATTGCCAAAAATAGATTTTAGTTAGTCTGAAATTGAAGAATAAGAAATTTCAACACATCATTTCACATAATTAAATCTTTTTTCTCATACCTGTCAGCTATAGGTTGCATAGCATTCCAAATCCACTATAGCATTCCAAATCAAACATTGTCAGCTACTGGTACGAAAAAAAATTCTCTTAATTTACAATTACCAGTACAACTATGGTACTTCTACTCTACTGGGGTTTCCCCTTTAGTAAGGATAAGCTGTCTTAGGCGGAATGAAAGTTTCTTTTGTTGATACTAGGAATGGGCGATAGTCAATAGTATAAACCATATATCGATAGTGGCTGAGCGAGCTAACACTTTTGGACAGCACTCCCATTGCCTGGCAACCTGATATATGAGATAATTTGATAAAAATAATTACAAGTTTGCGTCCTGGTGCCAAGGGGATCTTTTAACTTTGGCATTGATCCCCAACCCTTACTCCCTGGTCCAAGAAAATCCACGTATAGCCTGAAAGGTGAGGACAAAAAAAAAGTTAAAAAGTTTATACAGGTTGTGGTGGCCGAGCATGCTATAGGATTGCCTACTTGCCTGCTTTAACATTCTCAAGTCTAGCAACACCGATTCAAATATGCCTTGGGCTGGTTGAAATTTATTTTGTGGCAGAACCACAGAATGAATCTCACTCTGCTTAGAATAGGTTTCTCAATATTATTTTCTTTTATATCTGTGTATAATATTTCAGCGACTCAACAATGAAACTGACATGTGGGCTGACACATAATATGTTAAAAATAGACATGACGAACATGCTACTGGCTATTAAGAGAAGACACGTATATTTTACATAAGAAATATAATGGACAAGTACATGATAGACTCGAAAACGGCTCGATGAGCTGAAATGTCATAGTAGGATTTTGAAGTGAAAACATCGGTGTAATGTTGGCTTAAATAAACAAATTAGAAACTAGAATAGGTTTGTTTGTACCTCTAGACAAGTTGTACTTTCGACTTTCGCTTGATCAAAAGTAATAAAAAAATCCCCAAAAGATCCTTTTCACTTAAGGTTAAGGTCTTAGCAAACCATTCAGTTACCTGCATCTACTTTCAAGCACATTTGTCCTTTCTCAGAATTCTATTGATAGTGTGTTCATGAGATCTTGTACTATACATCGAAGTGGAGCATCTTTTAAAGTAGTATCAAAAATTGTTACTGTTATCTCCCCTTTCTATTTCCTAACAAAATATATACTCTAGAATGATATCAGCACAATTTTATTTCATTTAAATGTAATATTATCAAAGTAAATTTAGGAAATTACATTCTTGAAAATATAAAATGTATGCATTTCTCATACAGTTTTTTTTTTTTTCTGGTTGTTAAAACAATATTATTTATTGGCACAGATGTTTTTTTTCTGTGAATTTGTGATTCATGGAAATTAACGTAATTTATTTTTCTTTATGGATATCATTTATGTTTCATGGAATTTTTTAATAGTTCATTTATTTATCTTTTTATTAGTACCCACATCCATATAAATCTTCTATAATGTATCCATCAAAAATTAATTATTGTGATCAAGCTTATTCATTTTAAAATAAGTAACTTAAGAATTGAGTAAAAATAAATCCTTCTGAAGTAAGTGGTGAGGACTTACTGAACTTTCTGTTAATTTTTTCATCGATAGTATCGATCGCCAATCTCTTGTTGGTACCATGGAGATTGACAAAAAGTCGGGTTCAAGAGAGTGACACAAAGGATATTTGGTCCTATGAACAACTTTTGTCAGCTTTTTACTTTGCACATTTGTTAATTAAAATAATTTAAAGTGTATTTTCCTCTTATTTTAATGGTTAATTTTTAATCAGATAGTGAACCCATTTAGTATCAGATTAAAAGTTAAATAAAATAAAAAATATCCTTAAAATAACCAAAACATTTTCACCCTAAAAACTTTTGTATGTAAGCAAACAACATTGAAAATAGCTAAATGTAGATGAATAAACTCTAACCTGGCAAATCTGGTTTTAACAATCAGGAACAACTCTTGAAAAATGTTTAAATTTTTTATCTCCTAAAAACTAGGTGGAAAATTAATGGACAATGCCCATTTAAACTCATCAAATTTTTTAACTAATTTTCTTTTTATGACATGTAATGTGTGTATTTCACCTATAAACCAATAAATAAATAAATATTCATGTTTTTTTAAATTAATTTATTTTTAAAAAATAACACAAATAGGTGTACTGTAATGTATACCTACAACCATTGAACAGACATATGTATATTATGAAAATGAGAATAAGGCATTCTGAAAAAGTAATTGATACACTTTCAAAAATTAGAAAGTTCAGTATTAACAAGAACAATAAAAACTACTATAAAACAGTAATAGAATTTTTATTTTTATTATTTATCTACAAAATATTAATTGTAATTTCAAACTATAAATATATAATAATTGCACAAAGCCTTACTAACTATTGGGGGGATGGATCCATAAGTTCGGTTTTTGAAGGGTGAAATCTAACAATTTGTTTTAATATAAAGAATAAATTTTACTCAATAATTTATTTGCGGTTTTTACTAATGACGTCTTGCTTTCTTTCTTACAATTTCATTATTCTGCCCTCGTAAAACATCTCGGTCTTAGAAGCGAAAAACCGATCGAGATACGTTTTCACATCTCTCTCATGAGCAAACAATTATACTTGTTGAGAGAGTTTTGGAGAGGACGGAATAAGTGGTAGTCAGATGATGCAAGGTCTGGAGAACACGGTGGGTGTAATAAAACATCCCAGCCAACTTGCACTAACTGTTGCTGTGTAATTATTGCAGACTGTGATCTGACGTCATGGTGGAAAGCAAAACCTTTGCGATTGACTAGTTCTGGGCATTTCTGTCATAATGATTGGTCCAATTTTGTTAGCTGGGTGCAGTAGATCTTCGAATCAATCATTTCTCCTTGCAAAAACAACTCGTAGAACAGCACGCCACGATAATCTCACCATATGGAGAGCAAAATCTTTTTCAGACGTAGATTGGCCTTCGGGAATGGCATTAGACAGTTTGTCAGCAGTTGTCCACGATCTCCTGTGCACTACAGTGTAAGAGATGTTCCACTTTTCTTCACCCGTCTCAAATCGTTGAGAAATGGGTCCCTTTCGTGCCGATTCCAAAATCTATTTTCAGTGTCTCCGGAATTTCTCGTACCTGTGGCGACTGATCTTGTTCAATTAAAACCTTAATATCACTTGAAACAACCTCGGTGGACCAATTGCAGCATGGTGCATCTTCGAGGCTCATATCTCCAGAACTTAAACACGGCAAATTTATTTTTTTAACAGTACGTTCTGTTAAGGTCTCGTCCATTTATAGCTTACATATCTTTCGGTGGGCCTCCAAAGTTCTCTTGCCTATTTTGCAATAAAAAAACCAAAATATGTCGAAAATGTCCTTTATCATTTGACATATTCATTACGCTGTAGCACAAAAAAAACTATTCCAATGAAACCAAACATAACAGTTTCGAAGAGCGGAGTTCGATTTTTTCCGATAATTTAAGTATAATTATTGTCAGATAAGGCAAAGATAATTGGAGATATTTAAAAACAATTCGCATTATTAATTGTTGATAAAAACCGAACAATATTATGGATCTACCCATTATAACTAGATAGTAACATGCTAATTATTTTATTTATTTATTTTTATATGCCAAGTCATGGAAGTTTATTAGCTGTAAAACTTCAAGCAGCCCAGTAAAGGTTTAATCTTTTTCCATAAGGATTGTCATTATTACTTTAATTCCTTGTGTCTGCCAAGACAAGATACATGTCCAGGAAGTTCTCATCTATGTATTCATTATTGTTGACACACTTTTTCACTCTTTACTTCTATTTTATTTCAATGAGCTTGAAAATAGTCATTGTCAGTAATGGTTCTGATACAAGCCTGTGTCTCTGTGTCCCTTCGTGGTATGTCGCATGGTATTTTTTGTTATATGAGAGATTGAAATCTTTTTTATCATTGCTTTTAGTTTTTCTTAAAATGATTTTGGATAAATATACTGATATAAATATATATAAATATTACACTTCTTTTAATTTGGACAATTTTCCCAGTTTTAATGAATTTTATTTTAAAATATCTTATTTCTAGATCATTTATCTGATAAATTATTTTTTTTTTAATTTAATTTATGTTATTTTAAATATTGTATTCAAATATATCAAAGAACGAAATGACAAAATTGCTCAAAAATAAAAAAAGGGAGTATCTTAAAAATACAATAATCGAAATAGAAACGAAAATAACTTAAGAGACATGTACAAAGGTATAAACAGATCACGTAAATGTGTAGGGTCCGTAACATCTGGAATTAGGGATGATAATAACAATATTTTGACCGATCCGGTTGACATATTGAATAAATTTAAGACCACTTTGACAATATTTTAAATACGGGAAATTATGATCTGTATCCTCCTTCTGAGTACCAGAGTGCTGAACCGTTAATAGAAGTAAAGAGGAAGTTGAATTAGCTATCAGAAAATTAAAATCTTATAAAGTAGCGGGAACCGACAATATTCCCACTGAACTAATTAAGGCATGCGGGGAAGCTGGAGTTTCTAAAATACATCGGTTGGTTAAAAAGATCTGGGTGAATGAGAAATTACCTGAAGAATGGAAAGAATCTATTCTTATTCCGATTCACAAAAAGGGTCCGAGGACGGATTGTAATAACTATCGAGGAATTTCACTCCTTCCGGTATGTTATAAAATATTCACTTTAATCTTACCCAGTCGAATCACGGAATACGCCGAGGAAATTATTGGAGACTACCAATGCGGATTTAGACGGAATCATTCGACTATTGATCAAATATTTTCTTTACGGCAAATATTAGAGAAAAAATTGGAGTACAACGGTATTGTTCACCAGCTGTATATAGATTTTAAAAAGGCTTACGATTCTATTGACCGCCAGAAACTGTATAATATTCTAATCGAGCAGGGAATTCCTAAAAAATTAGTAAATCTAGTCAGGATGTGCTTGACGGAGACACTCAATAAAGTTAGAATCGGTAATAATCTGTCCGAAAAATTTGAGGTTCATTCGGGTTTAAAACAGGAGGATTCCCTTTGCCTGTCCTGTTCAATTTGGCATTAGAACATGCCATTAGGGAGGTAATGCGTACCGAGAAAGGGTTGGATCTGGGTGGGACAACATCCGTGCTGGGCTATGCGGATGATCTGGTAATGTTAAGCGAAGACCTTGAAACTGTAAAACTAAATACGACAACGTTAATGAAAGCCGGTAAAGAACTAGGACTCGAAATAAACGTGGATAAAACAAAATATATGGTTAGCTGCAAAAATGGCAATATTACTGGTGATATCGATATAGATGGTAATATGTTTGAACAGGTAGATAAGTTTAGGTATCTAGGTTCTACGATAACTAGAAAAAACGAAATTGAAGAAGAGATTAAGGTTAGACTGAAGGCGGGAAATGCTTGCTATTTTTCTGTGACAAAACTTCTTAGTTCGCGCCTCTTGTCCCGAAACTTAAAAATTAGAACCTATAAAACAATTATCTTGCCTACAGTTCTTTATGGGTGCGAAACTTGGCCGCTTACATTAAGGGATGAGCAGCGTCTTAAGGTGTTTGAAAATAAAGTATTGCGTAGAATATTCGGACCGAAGAAGGATGAGTTAACCGGAGAGTTCAGACGGTTACACAACGCCGAATTGCGTGAACTGTATCCGGGTAATATAATTGAGGTAATTTCATCGCGGCGAATCAAATGGGCTTGTAAAGTTGTTGGGCTTAGTAACGAGAGAATTCCTAAAAGGTTAATATTTGCTGTGCCGAATGGTAAGCGTCCGAGGGGTAGACCGAAGCGAAGGTGGGAAGATTGCATTAAAGCCGATCTGAAGGGACTGGGTTTGGACGGCGAACGATGGAGGGAGGTGTGCAATAAGCGATTGGTGGTGTCCGCATCGAACCTTCGGGTTCGCTAAGCCTTTTTATTATTTATTATTATTATTCAAATATATCAATACTTGTGTATAGCTGGATAAAAGGAAGACACCACCAACAAATTTTGTTTTGGCAAATTTCTTTCATGTGTTCACATAACAACGACTATTATATAAGCAGGTATGTAAAACGAAATACAAATTCCAGAAATCTCTCAAAAATTAACTTACTTGTTTATTCGAGGGAAAAAACTGCCTATAATTTGATAAACTGAAAAAGAATTGTCAACTAATACCTTAATTGGTAATAATAATTGGTAATAATAATAATACCTTAATTGGTTGCTGCCAATATTCGTACAATTGAAAATGAATTTTAGGTAGAGAGCTCTGGCACAACGCTCTAAACTTTTAAAACTTTTTTTTTGTACCTTTTGCCATCTAGAGGAATGTAACTTAACTGCTTTGAATAGGAAATTTCCACTCTTAGGTTGCTGGGACCTACTGCCCATTGAAGGGTTAAATAATCACTATGAAGTGTCTGTTGCATAATTATACAATGGAATGGCATTGTAAAATATCCTGTTAAAAATTTAAAAGATCTCTCTAATTAATTTTTGTGATTAATAACGTTTTTCTATCTATATTTTAATTATAATTTCTTCCCTGTTGATTTTTATTTTGCAAGTTGTATGGTTATTTGAGGGTGTGCATTTATAACTGCTTATTATATGTTTCAGGATGTAGATCTCACAAATATAGTTAAGGATCCTTTCATTCTAGATGACGAAAACCCAGTAGTTTTAATGGTTAAAAAACTTCAATCAACAAACAATGAAAATGAAATCAATTCATGTGTAAATGAGTTGCAAATGTTATGTGAAAGGGGAATAGAATATAAACTTTTATGTGGAAAGGAGCAAGTTTTTACAGTATTGATTGATAAATTATTTTTGGACATTCCTATGCAATTAAAGCAGAACATCTTACAATTTTTTACTGTTTTTCTTGATGGTAATGTGTTATCTTTTGAATTCTCATTTTCTTATTATAATGTATTAATCCCTTTCTGTGAACTATGATACAAGTAATGCAAAAATATTTTATTATATATGTAATAAAACACCTTTCTTAACATTCAACATTCAATGTTCCAATTTTTGTTTTCTTATTATTATATTTTCCATTATATTCTGTTACCCTATTAAATGCTATTTTTTAATGATAGAAATCTAACTATTTCGTCTTATACTCTGGATTGATAAATTTCTAAAAAAAATATGGCAACTTTACATTTAACTATTAAATGTGTTTCTGAAGACATTACTTTCATTTTTTTTTGTGTGTTTTTTTTTAAGGTTACCCTGACATTTTGGATAAGCGTAGCTGCAATTTATTTCTTAATATGCTAGAAAGCAATCCTGAGCTTCTAAAAATTATTGTACGATTGATTAATATAACATGCTTAAAGCACGAACATAACCGTCAGGTAATGCTTTTTTTTATGCTCTGTAATATAAAAAAGTTTTATAATAATTATTTCTTCATCCGAATTGCCCCAGTAATATCTGGTTATGTATTTTTTAAATTCTTCCATTTCATGGCCACCTCATTGGCAAATCTAAGATTCTTTTTTTTTCTTTTAAGTGTATTCAAGACTGATTATGTACAGGTTTATATTTTTAAAGTTATTTAAAATAAAAATATGATGTTAGTACTGTGGTAGTCTCAAGGCATTCAGAATGTTGTAAAAGAAAGTGAAACGTTACTATAATCAGATTTACCTTTTTTTATGTTAATAAAAGTCCCATTCAAGATTACCAATGAACTTTGGCACCTTGTAAAAAATATACGAAAGTTTTCTGTAAATCTATGCTGTTGGGTGTTCCAGAAAATAATGCAGGATTTTGTTTTAAAAAGAAAAAAAGAAAGATTTACAACTGTTTTATTTAATCAAAATAGTCTCCTCTACTATCAATATATTTCTGCCAACAACGTGTTGACAACTTACTCATTCCCTCAGAATAGAATTTCCCATCTTTAGAATTAATACACTCCAAAAACGCATTTTTTAATTTCCTTTTTCCATTAAATTTTTTGTCACGTAAGTAGTGGTCTAGGTGTCTAAAAAATGATAATTTGTAGGCAAGAGGTCAGGACAGTAGTGGTAGAGTTTCATACCCAAGCTCCAACAGTTTTTGTGATGTTACACGTGAGGCATATGGCCGGGTGTTGTCATGCAGTAAAATGAGCCCCTTCAGATTGACCAAAGATGGCTTCATTATTGCCAATTTCTGGTGTGTTGTATTAATTTGGTTACAAGATAACACGTAGTAACTAAACTGAGGCTTTTTTTTAAGAAGTTGGATGGGATTAAACAAGCTTAGAGAATACTCTAAAGGGATTATTAAGTATTAAATAGGATTAAAATATTTACAGTCCTTTGAAATCTTGAATTTGATAAAACAGTCATTTTTTTTTATACACCCTATTATTTTGCTTTAGTTTATTGATTTATTTTTATGTTTTCTTTAATTTTTCAGATGTATGTGGAGAACAATATTATATCTTGCATTAATAATCTCATTAGTAATAAACCATCTAGCGAAGTGCTTTCCTGTGTTTTGAACATCATACCAGCCCTAACCCGTGATGATGATATCCGAAGTGAAGTTTCGAAGATGTACATGCATGCATGTTCTCTTTCTAATGATTTATTGAAACCTTTGTGCCGTCTTCTGAAAGGTGGAGAACTGAAATTATTTGACTTAATATGTCATCTATGATATCTATTCTTATTTTCTTTAGTTTCTAGAATATGAAAAATAATTTATTATTTTAAGTACAGCGTTTATAGATATTTTTAAAGATAATAATAAATTTTTGTTTAAACTTAATTTGTTAAAAAAAATCGAAAACTTCGTTTTTTACATTTCTATAATTTTAGTACTGAGGGACCAAGTCCAAAATCCTTAGAAATTATTTTGTTTAGTTAGTCAGTATTTATATAAATAATATTATAGTTTTATTATAATACAGTTACATGAACTTCACAATAATCTTAATCCTTTATTAATCCAACCACAATATCAATACAATAAAGATATAAAAATATTACAACACATTTGAAACATAATATTTATATGAGAAGGAGTTAGTCGAGGGTGCGGTCAAATAAATTAAAAAAAATTAAAATATATAAATTATTTTAATTTTTGCTGACGTTTTGACCCACTTTGCAGGTCGTCTTCAGGGCGTAGGATGTGGCACTGCGGGAGGCAGTTGAAACACTGGCCACATTTTTGATCTGGCCAGTGTTTCAACTGCCTCCCGCAGTGCCACATCCTACGCCCTGAAGACGACCTTCAAAGTGGGTCAAAACGTCGGCAAAAATTAAAATAATTTATATATTTTAATCTTTTTAAATTTATTTGACCGCACCCTCGACTAACTCCTTCTCATATTATATCAACGGTCAACCATCTCTACATCATCATAATATTTATAATTAATTGAAAATGTTTCTGCACAGTTATTAATCATTCATGTTGAAATTGTTTAGTCAGTTGTAGTCCAGTTGAGCATCTGTCTTCAGATTATTGATACTCTTATTATATTGTTCAGAACTTAGGTCCAGCATGGACACTCTTGAGATAGAAGAACTTCGAGCTAATGCATGAATGGTATGAGTAATTTATTTGAAACTGACAATGTATCATTTGAAGGGCCTGGCATCTGGTTGAGATCAGATTTTGAAAGTTCACCATTATGATATGTAAACTGGTTAAGTTGGATTCACTTAGGCGAGTTTTAAAGTTTGAATATTACAAGTTTAAGCAAAATTCTTCCATGAAATTGAATACATTTTCAAAAAATATCAAAATTAAAACAAGTATTTCACTGTCATTCCAACAGTATGTGCATGAAACAAAAGTTTGTACAAATGATCCTAAATTCTTAGTCCTGATACAAGGAGAAGTATCGGAATAGTTCAAAATTCAAAAAGGTTTGAGGTAGAGAGATGGACTTTCACTGATGTTCAATTTATCCCTGGATGAGGTTATATGAACATCACATGATAATGTAGGTGTGTACAATCGGATGAATTATCAAATTTTAGAATATGCAGAATAGCTGGTTTTGGAAGTAAGCAAGAAATCATTGAGAGACTCACTATGATACTGATAAGAGAAGTAGAGCAAATCAAAGACCACAAGTAAATGAAAATAAAACAAAATATACAATAGTAATCTAAAAATCCATCCAAATAATAGGATCTGCACAGATTGAAATTTATTCTGGAGAGTAGACAGAATCAAATACCAGATCCCACATCCAAATCAAATCCCACAATAACATCAATGAATGACCATCTATTTGAGTTTAAAGAGTATGCAATACCATGATAAAGCCAGTGCTTTATACAGTTGGGAAACTTGAACTTTAAACAGCACCTTAAAAACAAGGAATAAAAGATTTGAGAGGAAGGTCCTTTGCACGATAGCCAGTGTGATCATGGATCAGACCTCTAATGTATAGAGGAGAAAGGTCAATAAAGAACTGCTTACAGAAATTGGCCAATCAATATCTCATGACATGAATACAAAGAAGTTAAGATGTATAGGGTATGTAGTTCAGAGCAGTCCATCAAGAAGCGTCTACAAAGCAATAAATAACCCAAATAGTAGGCAAGATACCATGTGGAAGGCCAAAAACTAGTTGAATATATAGAATAAAGTTGAACGCAGCAAACTGGAAAGCCTTAGCCCAAGATTGTCAGATGTGGATGGAGAAGATTGGTTCAGGCAGTCTATGCCAACAGAAAAAAATATTTTAAAAATGGGCTGTAAACAAATTATAATTGTTAAACCCAACTTTTTAAAATATAAAATCATTAGTTGACATTTTCTTAACCTCTAACAAAAACTAATTACTATTGGATTTTAAAATTAACTGTAATTGAATATAAATTAATTACTTCCCTGTTAACGAAGCAGGACATATAAATACGTCAAACGTAAACAATAACAGGTACAGGTAGGACATACGAATACATCCTTGCAATATATGTTGTGCCCTGGAACGGGCATTTTTGAACAACAAATGTATTATATATTAGTCATTCCATACATGTTTCATAATGAATTTTCTTTTTAAGTTTATTGTTCTGTAATAGTCAACTTTTTTTATATTTTTTACTGTGTATCTAAATAAAAAATATATATTTTCTGTAATCTTTGTAATTGTTTGTAAAATTTATAATTTTTTAATTTGATGTTTCCATTTTGTTGTTGGTATTCTTTTCTATTTGTTTGTAATTTTGTATTTTCCTTTGTGCTTTATATATAATTAAATGATCATTTCATTTACTTTAAGCATATATAAAAAAAAATAATATGAAATTACGCCTTCCGGGCATGACGTACTAACATGCCCTTGTGAAAGAGTTCACGCCCGTTATATGCTGCGTAGTTAAAAAAGGAATTCCCCGGTTAACAGGTTAATGGAGAATAATAAAATATGTTCTTTTGAATATACTGAATTATCATGGTATGTTAGTTGAGTTTGATATGAGTTTTGTTCTTTTCCATTCGTGTTTTCCTTTCTGATCTGCTTGTTTTTTCACTGAATAACAGTTTTCTAATGGCGAAAAAATGCACTAATTGATCTGATGTACAAAAACCCTCATTCTAAAACCTAAAGAAAAATCATTCCATTAGATTTTGAGATCCATCTTGCATACAGAAGTTACTTCTGATTTTAGGATTCATCTATATTATCATATCCATTCCAAGAACCAATAAAGTAGCTATGGTAAATGAGTTCAGATTGTCAAAAGAAAAACTTGTGTTTAATTAACTATCTCTCACCACTTCTGGCATCTCTTCTTTTTTGTGATTTGCTTACCAATAGAAATAAAATGTCTATATGACTAATGTTTGATCTCAATTTCCATGACTTTCTCTTCTTGATTCTCCAGCTTGTTTATATTTCCTGCTTTGGAATGGATTTGTCATCTTCTGAGCTGTTATTTATGAAATAGTTAAGTTTGAACTAGCATGCCTACCTAAGTGACTGAGAGGCTGGCAAGTACAAAATGTATGTTGAGTGTATTTTGTACTCAGTGAGAGTATTTTGAATGAATTTGAATTTTGAAAACCTCATATTAAAGCAAACCAATAATACATTTAATTTTTTTTTTTTAAAAAGAAGCTTAATGTATGCATTAAAAGAAGGGGCCATGGTAGTGGAGCGAGTTAAGGCATTAGTAAAATTACACAACATGTAGTGACATGAGTTCAAATTCCGTTCGCTGGATTGCTGGATTTAATAACAGAAACTTAAAAAAAAAAAATAATAATAATAAACAAGTCTGTTACTACTTGATTGCTTAGACCACAATGGTGCGGATTCGAGTCCCGCATGGGGACAGTAAAGTCCCCATCCAGAGATTCACAGGGAGGTGAGCAACTCCTGTGTCTTTCACCAGCTCCTGATCCACCATGTTAATGGTTGGGCATAGGGCTAATAATCCTATCCCATAAAGAAAATGGGGTGGAGATTGCTGCAAAAATTTGGCAACCATCCTTCAGGAAAGTATTTGATAAAGAGGAAATGATTGTGATCGTGTCTAGTTATCATAAAAAAAAAAACATGCTCCCTGGATATCAACCAAAACGATCACAGCTGTTGTCTACGACAGCCTAAGCTGCTGGAAAAAAATTTGAGCCATAAGAAAAAAAATGTATTAACAGAAAATAAATAAAAAACAAATCTAAAGTAAATTATTTTGTTTGCTGATATATTTGTAAACCTACTTACTGCAATAGTCAAGGCTTCTATTTTTCCTAGTTATTAGACATAAAATTTAAAATTCTTAGTGCCACTTGATCACTTATTTCTCCATCAATATACTTTTAAACAATTTACTTTGTTTTTTACAGCAGAAGAAATTGAAGAGGATTTAGTGGAATCTTTGTTAAATGCTTTATCATCGATTGTTGTCAATAATGATCATTGTATAACAGTTGATTCTGAAGGATGTGTTCCAGTTGTGCTGAATTTAATTAAGAAACATAGTCAGAACAAGGTTTGATTTTATTTTTGCTTTAATATTTATTTAGTAATAACACAATTCATACACAAAAAAAGTAAATTGAAATAATTACAGACCCTCTACTCGACTATTTAGATCACCGCGGCACGGGTTCGATTCCCACATGGAAATGGTAACGTCCCCACCTTAGCGACCCTTGTGTCTTAAACCATAGCTCCTGGTGCTCCAGCTTGGGGTTGGATATACGGCTGATAATCCTCTATCCCATAAAAAACTGGGTGGAAGATTGAAGCAAAAGATTGCCAACCATTCTGCAGGAAAGTTCCTGATGAAGAGGGAATGAAATGTGATTGCGTCCGGTTAGCCAACCACATGTTCCCTGCATATCTCGAAGTAAAGAGAACAAAACAATCACTACTGTCGCCTATAACAGCCCCAAGCTATTGAAGAAGACTCATGACTAAAAAAGTCGAAGTCAAAGGCGTAAGAAAAAAAAAAAAAACTTTTAATATTTATATTTATATTTTTTTGAACTAACACATTATTTGTATTAAGTATTTATATGTTTCTCTTTCCTGAGTCTGAACAGGTTAGAATACTTGCAACCCCTAGCAAATTGTTAAAGGCAATTGATGTTGGATGTCACCTAACAGCAGCCTGTTACTCCATGTCACCATGCCAATCTTACCGGTCTAGGATTTTATGCTCACAGCCTTTCTCAAGAAATCAAACAATCAGCACTATGAACTGTAATATTCTGGAACACCGGCAGCTTAATGCTGGATAAGAACAACAGTACCAAAGGATTTATAATAACTAGAATAAGAGGGAATCGAAAAGGGCCTATGAGAACTATCTCTGCCCTACTGTAAATTATTGTATATATTTGCCTGGAAATTGAGGAATAAGGTCCTATGTCTATCTTCCTTCTGGAGAGACTGAGGCTGCAGCTTGGCCTACACAGATCTAAGATATGGACCTTTTCGGCACTTTGGCTTTGACTGAATTAGATGATCTAGTCAGGCATAATAGTATTTGCTGAATCCTCTATCATTGTATGTTTTAACCACAATCAAGAGACATTTAACATGAGATGCTAAGGGTGCTCTGCTAACAGCAGATAGAAGGGTGCTTTTATAGACAAGTTTTATTTATGTTTAGTCCAAAAAAGAATTAGCCGAACTTTATTTAGAATAAGCATTCTGATACAATCATACAGACCGGAAATAGAAAAAATTATAGAAGAATTCATATCCTGAAAATCTTTCTTGCAGGAGTGGGTGCCTACTCAAGGGGTTTTACAATTTGGAAACATTTTAGTAATACCTAAAGGGTATGCAATACCATAGTAGCAATACAGCAATACTAGCAATGAACTATGATGAACTAGACTGTATCTGTTGCACCAGAAAAGCTAAATTTAAGATGATGCCAGAATTGCTATTTTTGTTGACTCCCAAGCAGAATTTGCCTCCTTAAAATCTCGAAACAACGAAAACTCTGAAATTGAAAAAATTACTACACTTAGCATACTATGGCTTGGTAGTAATAGGGAAATGAACAGACAATGCTTGTTCTGCTCTCCAGGACATCACTGATGCATTTACCAACTCTGGCAACCCCCAATACAGAATGAGCAAACTTTATTGGGCTGTAATCAAGAACACTAATTAAAAGCCAATGTAGCAGTGTTATAAAAAAAATAAATTTCAATAATTATTTTAATATTTGTAGCTAAAGTCACCAATAAATGTATTCTTTACATGATATATTCAGCTATATTAAACATTTCATGAATTTAGTAAGGTTTTAATTTTTTCTTTCTTTTTTTTCACAGAAGATATTAGTAAAATGTTTCACGTTTCTCTTTGTTCTCGCTGGTAATGATGACATATGTAATAAACTAATGAAATTGGATGTTGCATCAGAGCTATCATTCGCCATGAATAATTATGTTGTGAGTATTATACAATTAATAGAATAATCTTAAAGTTCCACAAGTCATTTCACCATTTTCCAGGTTTGCTTAATCATTGTGTGTAAAACCTAATTCATTCAAAATAATGGTCATTGTTTTCTTCTTTCTGTAATATTTATCTTTCACCTTGAATCCGTAGTTCTTCATTCAATTAGAATTTATGGAAAATGTATATTTCAAACGCCAATTATTGATAAATGTCCTAGCTTTATGAATCAGCTGTTACTTTTGTTTTACTTTAAAAAAATATTTGTATTTACTTTTTTTTCAGAATCTAAAGAGCATTACTCTAGCAGCTCTAAAACTGACATCAAGACTGTGTTTGAGAAAACCAAATCATGGTCAGATATTTTTTCAAATTGATTTTCCTACTTATGTTATTCAGGCCATGAAAGTCTTTGAAAAAGATGGCTCAGTTCAGGTATAATTGAGAATTATATTTTTTCTTTATATTTACTACAATGAAATACTTCATTGTTTAACCTGGAACTAGTAAGTATACTAAAAATATAAGTGATTAATTTAGTATTTGGTTAATTTTTATTTTAGGTTGCTGGCTGTTGGTGCATAAGAAATATGACGTGCCGCAATCACGAGTTTCGTAAAAACTTTTTAAATTTGGGTGCTGAAGAAATAATAAATAAAATCCTTTCTGACTTTAAACAATATGAGCAAGATGCTAAATTTGCTTTGATTGAGCTTGGATGCTCAGTTAAGTTGAATGAACCTTGGATTGGAAAGGAAGGACAAAAATTAAAAAATTAAAAATGATTTTTCCTATAAATATGATTCTGTGATATATATTTTTTTTAATGTGACAGTTAATGTTTGTTTTAATTTACTTTTAATTTAGCTTGAACTGTTAACCTCTTCCCTGCTGTGAGTGAAAAGCTTTATGTCTACCAAAGTGCAAAGTAAGCTGGCTACCCTTGTACCCGCCCAAGCTACATTCTTTTTACTTGCTTTCTACCCTTCATTACCGTCTCTTACTACTATCAACTAACCTTATTTTATTGTTTCTATTCTCCTTTTTGATTCGGACTGTGGACGGACACTGGCGGAGTTAAAACCTTTTTTATTGTATTTTTTTTAATATTTTTAAATATTTATTTAATAATTTAATGTTGTATGGTATTCTTCGAAAAATTTGCCATTACAAAGAAAAACCTTACGATTGCGACATTATACCACGGTTTTGCGCCGAATATTTTTGTTATATTATATTTATTTCGGCAGTAATAATGAATTCGGCTGCTTCTGCAGCACTAAACCTCTGTTTTTTCCATTTCAAAGAAAATAATAAAGCAAAAAACAGTAAAAAATATACTAACTTTTACCTAAAATAATTAATTCTATATGACCACGTTACTAACTCAGCTAATCTTATTTGATCTAATTTCTAATTAAAATAACTAGACCAAACTAAATGACATTTTTATAAACTCAGAGCAGTTGAACACATGGTTGTCACCCATAAGGGTTCATGAATTCTACAAAAAAAGCTCCAAAATAAAGCCTCATGCCATCTGTAGGCTCTAGTTAAAAATTTTATTTTATTAGGAAACCAGTAGAATGTTGCAAGGTCACAGTGGCTGTACTCAACATTAGCTAATGGAAGGAAAAGCAGTGAAACATCTATAGCCGACATTGGCACGTGCAGTTGCAGCGGCTATTGCCGTCATTAGCAGTTAAGGGGTTAACATGTTTTTTTTATGTTTTTTAACAGATAGTTTTTATTCCATATTTTTTAATTTTTTATACTATGAAGAATTTAGCATTAAACTTTATTTATTAACATTGTTTTTTTTGTTCTGCATTGTCTTTCCATTTTAATTTGATTAGTATAATGTTACCATCATAGTTCATTATTATCCGTTCTCCTGATTTGTTACTTTAATTTATTTATTTATAAAATATATAGTAAGGTAAAATATTATGATTGTGAACAATTTCGAAATCCAATATTTATGAAAATATACATTTTAAGGTCCCTTAAGTCCAAATAACCAAGTGAATAATATGAAATTTAAGGTAGGCTTATGCCTCGGATGTTACAACTTTTTTTGTCTAAATGGACTAACCGGAGGGGGTACTTTTTATCACTGATTTTACACATTTTTTAAATTTTCTTAAAAACGGCTAACAATTTTGATTATACTCATTATATCAATGAAAAATTAAATTTTATTTAATATTAGGCAGGTATTATCCTTTTTCCAAAACTTTTACTTCTCTATTCTTCAGGTATGACTAATATAATAAATTCCAGAAATATTTCCTCGACAATTTTTATCACATAATAGACTGCTAGATGATACTGATCGGAAACCTGACTGAAACCTTTTACCTCTTCCTTCCAGATTTCCCCTACGGTCTCCTCATGATTTTCCTCACATAAAATATATGTTCGTTGAAATTTCCTCATTTTCTATTAGATAACCTCTTTGAATCCTCCCTTGTTAACCTAGTTTCCAATTACACCAATATTATCATCACCAGTGATTAACATGAATATGCTTTCACAATCTCCCAAAAAACACAATCTTTACTGACCTACTGTTTTTTCTTAATCTTTATCTTTTGCTCATTCTCCTACCTATCACACGCTTTTTTCCGACACTTGATTAGATCTCTACATCTCTGACTCTTCTTATAAAAATTCTTTCCTCTTCTCAACATCCTGTTCCATTTCTTTCATCATATGACCTGATCCAAATTACACATGACCTACCCCTGAAATCCTTACTCCCAAAATGGTTTCATACCGCAATTTAAACCTTCTCTCCTATAAACCCCTTCAACCTGACCTTGATTCTTTTCAATGAGATATCATATATTCCTATAATTCCATTGACCTTATGTTCTCCACCCTAACCTCAAATATACAATCCATATTATGATTATGGTGCTGACAATATTCCAGTATAACTAATAAAATCCAGCCTTTCTGTCCTTATGCCCGTGCTTTACCATAGCTACAACTTTTTATTTAAAAATTCCATATTCCTATTTTCCTGGGGAAACCTGCCCTACCTAGTTGAATCTTTGAATAAAACTTCTAACCCTTTCTCTCTGCATGGCTTCTGTCCTATTTCTCCCCTTTCCAGCCTTTCAAAACTGTTCAAACGCCTTGTCCAAAATCAATTGTCCAACTTCCTAGAGGAGCATTCTCTAATCATCCCATTCCAATCTGGTTTTTGATCTGGCTACTAACTAAACACAATCCGCTCTTCGTAAAATAACCCATGACCTCTGAAACTCCATTGAACACCAAAATCTTACTATCTCATCCTTCTAGATTTTTCCAAAGTGTTTGACACAGTTGACCACATCTTCCTTACCAGTGTCGGGCAAAATTTATTTTGAATGAATGAATATTTTATTTGTTGTCAGGGAATACCACATACAAATAGATTTGGCCATCATGATAATAATGAACACAATAAATTAATGTGAAAAACATTTACAACTTGTATACAAAGTAAAATTCATTGGGATTCAGTGACATCCTCTCCTCATAACATCCAAGCCGAAATATAAACAATGTTATAATATAATACACAATAATAATGTAACAGCAAAACATAGTTAGTAATAAAATGACGAATGGTAATTAATAGTACTAGTACTAAATATAAATATAGGCATCGTTTACAATATATAAAAACATGTCAATGGTAAACAACAAATGATGATAGTAAAATATGGTATGTATTACATATTAATATGTTTCATGCATGAATAATAAATACCTTAAACAGAACAAAGTAAAAAAACTTCAAAGTTTTGAAAAAAAATTGTTTATTCACAGATTTGAATAAACATGAATGTCATCATTGAAAATAAAGGACCTCAATCTGTAACATTGGCTCCTGTAATAATACAGGTTCTTGAGGAATACTTCATTGTCAGTTTTGAATAATTCCAAATAATTTTATCTTGGTACAATTTATCTTAGATAATAGATAATGAATAATTTATTCATACATTCAACTACGAATAACTAATATTTCTGTTTATCTTTTATATAGATAAAAAATATATTCAAAATATTTCTGTTTATCTTTCGTCTATATAATAAATATATTCAAGTTATCTATTATTTTTTTATTTGTTATTCAAATAAATCTCCAATAATATAACGCTAAATTTATTTGTCTTCGATATAAGCCTGGTTATATATTTTCGGAGCCGTAGTTATTGAAAATGATCTCCATTTTAAGACGTACGTCCCTGCATTCCAGCTTATTTGATTTTTTCACTATAAAGGTTGATTTATATGTTTTCGGGACCACAATTTTTGGAAATGATCTCCATTTTAGGACTACGCCACTGCGTTGTGGCTTATTTGAGTTTTTTTTAATTCTTCGATACAAGAGTCGATTTATATGTTTTCGAAACCGAGGATTTTTACAATGATTTCCATTTTAGGATCAAGCCCCTGCGTTTCGGCTTATTTGAGTTTTTTTTTATTTCTTCGATTTAAGGCTGTTTATTTATCTTCGAAGCCTTAGTTTTTGAAAATGATCTCTATTACAACGCCACTGCGTTGTGGATTTGAGTTTTTGTATTTTGGTGATATAATGGTCGATTTATATGTTTTCGAAAATGATCTCCATTGTCGAGTTCACAAATAAAAACAAACGTGACATTGTTAAATGAAGTAGAAGTTGAGATCCTTTACTTCTTTTCTGATATGCATGATGATATGACTATACTAAATAAGTATCCAGATATAAAAAAAAGTATTGTATACAATACACCATTCCCATCTTCAACACCGGTTGAACGATTTTTTTCTTAAATTAAATTATTTATTTTTAACTCTTAAATTATGCAACACCGAAAGATCTACCAGTAAGTGATAGACGCTTTAACATAAGAGTCGTTTTGAAAGCAAATATGACAACTTCAGATCTAAAAATGTGAATTAATTGATTTTTTATTTTTGAATAAAAATTACATTGATGATTCCTATGTTTAGAATTTCTTTTTATGTTAAATTATTTAATTTAACGTTCGTGAATCTATTTGAAACAGCCTGCTGTAAATAATAAATATTGGAATTATGCACCAACTGAAGATAAAGATGGAGAGGTGAAGGATGATTTCTATGATCAGTTGAAAAATATTGTGGACCAAGCTCATAGGCACGACCTAAAATTAGTCATAGGTTACTTTAATGCATAGATAAGACGTGAAACCCAATTCAGTCCCATTAGGCCAAAGCCTTCACGAAAATAGCAATGACAATGTAGTGAGATGTATCAGTCTGGCAGCAGTACAAAGTTGCTATACAAGGATGTCAACAAGTACAACTGGTCTAGCCCTAAAGGCGGGAAAAACCAAATTGATCATTCTCGTTCTGGTAGACAAGAAACATCAGAGCTCAATACAAGATGTAAGAAGCTATCGTGGAGCAGACTGTGATTCGGATCACTCTCTAATTAGAATTAAACTATGTCAGAGATTGAAGCGAATTTACCAACAGGGGATCGATTGGAAAGAAGGAGGCATGAAGTCCGTAATTTGAAAAATCCTGAAGTAAAAGACAAATTCCAACTTGAGCTGAAAAATAAATCCTAATCTGTCCTATCCTAAAGAAAGGCTCCGTGTATTAGTGAACTAATTATAGAGGCATAGCACTCCTTCCGGTTGCCTACAAGATAATGACCAATATCCTACTAAACCGGATATATCCGTATTACGAGAATATAACAGGCGTCCACCAAGCTGGATTTAACAAAAGAAGGAGCACGCTAGCCCAGATCATCATCCTAAAAATAGTACTCAAAAAACAATGGGAAGTAACTCAGGACGTCCACGCCCTATTTGTCGATTCTAGAGCAGCCTATGTTTCTGTGGACAGGAGCTGTCTTTGGAAAATCATGACTGAAATGAAAATTCCAGGTAAGTTGGTAAGATTGACAAAGGCGTGTACAAATGACCCAAAAGTAGAGTCCTCATACAAGGATAAGTATCTTAAGCTTTCAAAGCTCGAACGGGCTTACGGCAGGGAGATGGACTATCACCGATGTTGTTCAACTTAGCCCTGGAGAAGGTAATAAGAGCAACATCAGAGGAAAATGAAGGGGTCCATTCCGGAATGAATCATAAAATCCTTGGAGTAATCAAGAAGACATTGAGACATTGATGAGAGAGGCAGGGCGATCTGGCCTTCAAGTAAAAGAAGACAAAATAAAATATATGAAAATAAGCCAAAAATTCCACCCCAATAACAAGATCTGCGTAGAAGGAAAATCATTTTCAAATACCTCGACTCCACAATAACCTCAATGAATGACCAACGGGCAGAAATAGACCAGCGTATATCTAGCTCAATAAGAGCTTTCTTCTCCCTCTCAAAGGTTTTGAAATTCCGAAAAATCGCAAATTAAGGGTATGCAATGCGATGCTAAAGCCAGTTATAATATATTGCTGTAAAACCTGGATACTAACCAGCACCCTAGAAAAAAGTGTTAAAAGATTAGAGAGGAAAATTCTCATAGAAATCATCCTTCACCTCTTCATCTTTATCTTCGGTTGGTACATACCCATTAATTATCGTGATATTAAACCAACGATCTTTAACTTGTAAAACACTAATACTTTTGTTAGTTGGATTGAAGTTTATGATTAATTTCCTTGCCACTGGACTCATTATATATCCCGTGCCGGCTACCGTATTTTTATTGTTTCGCCCGGAGTAAAATAGTGTGTGGCCGTCGATAATGGTTTCGTCACCATCTGGCCACCTTACCTCTTTAATGGCTGTTACCGGTATGTTATACCTTT